TATTAATAATTAATTAACTCAAAATAATATTGAAGTAGAGATTTTTAAAGAAGTCATTACAGAGATAAGTAAGGCGAATTGATTCCAATTAATTAATTGTTCACAATATCCAAATGAGTATTATTATTAATATAATATTGTATAACAACTAATTTAATTCCTAAATCCTTCATAAGAGGAGCTTTGATTATCCTTTATTTTCTTTCAAAATAATTTATCCTCCCAAACATATCCTTTTGATATTTTAAACCTACGAGATACTATTCATTTGTTCCTTATTTTTCATAACTTTTCATTTTCTGTGTAAAACTCTGTTATTACAATTAAACAAGATTTTATTCTGTGTTAAATGTAGTACTACAATATTATAAATTAATTTAGCAGAGAATTATTATTAGTTGCTGGATAAAACCAAATAAAGAAGTGACAAACAGTTTACTTGAAACTTAAGAGGACTTATGATCAGTGAATAATTGGTACTTCAGATTAAACTTTATTACAATTTGGACCAGTTTTGTTAGTTCAAGGACTTCTAATGCCCTAATCTATCAAAGTTGGTTGTGAATCTAGTTGAAGATACTCATAGCTATTGCCTAGAAATTTTTAAATGATGTAAAAGTAATTTATTATTTTAAGCCTACTCTTTAATAGATTTTAATCTTCAGCTCTTAAGGCAAATTTTATGAATTTCAAGTGGCTTAAGGTCCTTGCTTAAAAATTATGTTCTGAATATCTCATCTAAGTTTATGATCCTCAAACCAATCTCACTTATAATTCTTTTCTTCTCACATAAAGAAAAAAGTAAAATTTAAATGAAATGGAGATATAAATTAATTAAATTTATCAGGTTCCATCAAATTATTACTTGTCTTATCTATTTTTTTGATCTCAAATTTGGAACACTAAAAATTACTCTTAAGAATTCTAATAAATTAAGCAAATTGATTCCTATCAAAGGATTTTTTTTCTAAATATCCAGATTTCCTGACAATATTAGATGCTTTTTATAATAATAAGGGATTATCAAAAATCTAAATTTCTATTTATAATTGAATTTATAAAGTAAAATGGAGCTAGATTATAAATTTGATAAGTTTTGTATTACAAGTGTGTATATTTAGTTTCATCATTCATATGCACAAAGCTTCTTCTTAAATTTACAGAAATTATGAATTCATTCACTATACTAACTTAACCTACAATATTAATTATATTCTTTTACTTTTTCAATTAAAATATACTTTAAGAAAGCTCTTTGATTTATTTCAATATTAACAGCTTACATTTGATTCCAAATTTCATTTCATAGATTTTATGGAAAAACCTAAATAAAACTGTGATTTGACAATTAAATTTTTGTACAAGTAACAGTTTTAATGTAGAAATATTAAAATATTACCGATCATATTAATTGTTAGATGCATTTTATTAGAATTAATATATATTTCAATTATATTAATTTAATTAATTTAATAGTTGAATTAAATATTAGCCAAATCATAGGTTATCTATGAAAAATTAATGATAAAAAAAGGAAGTAAATTCCACTTATTAAATGTTGATAATTTCATACTTTAAATGCAATAGAGGGATGATGCATATATATAAATATATATCTTCAAAATTAGACATCTGAGTTTGGTGAAGATTGCCTATTAAATATATTAAATATCTTTAATAGTACATAACATCTACAATTTCTTTCGGTTAACAAATTAGTTGGAAATGTAAATTGATTCTTAACATATTTTTCAGCGTAGAATTCATATTCTTTTAGATTCTTCGCCTCTAAAGAATTATATAAATTCAGAACCTGAAATTATTCTAATTACTGGTGTAATTCATAGAATTTAAAATTCCTTATTTTCAGCCCTAACTTCAGATTATTACAAATAATAAATTATACATGGTATCCGAACCATTCTACAAAATTTATTTTAGTCAGCAAGAATCATTTGGATAAATTTAAAGGTGCTTCTTAATTACATAAACATAATGATTTAAAAAGAACTAATATTTTTTTATTAATAATATAATATTAATAGATAATTAATATTTACTACCAAAAAATAACTCAATTAATATCTAATCTTGTTAGAAAGTGATTATCAATTAGAGTAATATAGAGATTATTTATTTAATATATTATCTATGATATACATATACCTTATGTCAATGTAGCGATCAAATTCTAATGATTTCTCTGCAGTTTTTTTATTTTAGATATAAATTTTTCTTACATGTATTTTAATTATTTTGAACCTATTTCAGTTAATAAATTATGAATTCTATCAAAAATTATATTTAATTATTAAATGTTTTAATTCATGGCAATCTTGATTTGCTCTTAATACAGGAGCAATAATGCAAGGTTAATTAAAACAATTATTTTACTAACTATGATACATAATATAACAAATAAAAAAGTAGTATATTCTAAATTATCAGGTGCCTTCACATTTGCAGATAATGGTAATATTATTAGTAATATATAGATTGGTTTTAGTTTAATACTTATTCTGCCCTATTTACTGTTATTACTTGTGGTACCTCAAATATTTTATCTGTCAATAATTATTCAAAAATTGATAATTCTATGTTTACCAGGATATTTAAACTTGAACCTCATTATTAAATAACCTTTTCTTTTAAATTTTGGAGGTATATTAATTGATTAATTTAGAATTGATACTTGGGACAATAAACTCTTTGAAGTATTTGCTGATTTAGAAAATTAATATTCAAGATCATTTTCTGACTCTGATACTACAACAAACATTTGTCAAGTTTCATCAATAAGTGATTCAGTTATAGATGTTTCTATAATTATTCAACATTCCAATCCAACTTTATAAATTATTTTAAAAGGTTAAGGATCTTTTTGGGGAATCTCTGACTTTGAATTAGCTATTGATGAATGTGCACCAGGATGTGATTCATGTAATTAGAGTCAATGCTTCAATTAAAAATTAGTACCAATATCTATATAATGGATCACAATGGATATGTTTTCTACATAAATAGGATGTTTAGGTATATTAGATTAATAATTAGATTATCGATATGATTGGACATACTGAACATTCATGGAAATAGAAATTGATTTAGAATACCATATAAAAATTAGTTCAAAAATGAGATTCTTAATTACAAATGCTGATAATCCAACTCTTACTATAAAAATTGATGATCAATTAGTAACTACAACATAAAAATTATCATAAAGGATAATATGGACAAGATCTTTTTGTAATCATATTTAGATTCTTGATGTAATAATAACAGATTTAGTACACACTAATCCAAAAATAAAAATTCGTGTTGATGTTGTTATGCCAGAATTTGAAGTGGCAGAAGGTCCTCCTTTTTTTGGAAGACCTGATTTTGAATTATTCATCACAATTTCAGAAAAATAAATTAATACAGATTCACAAGGATTACCTTATGAAGGTTGTTAATTAGATATCCCTGAATTATTTGAAGGTTGTTCTTTTTGTGTTAGAGGTATATGTTTACATTGTTAGGAAGGATGGTAATATATAGAATAAGATCAGGAATGTTTACCAATATGTGGAGATTTTAAACTTGTTCAGAATGAAGAATGCGATGATGGTAATTTAATTCCTTATGATGGTTTTTATTAATGTTAATATTCATGTCCACTATTTTGTAAGTAATGTATAAATGGAAAATGTATTGAATGTGAGTAAACATAATAATTAATTAATGGTTTGTGTTTATTTGTATGTAATCAAATAAAAATTTATTCTGTTTAATAATATACAGGATGTTTTAATCATATTGACAATATTTAAGACAATGGATATTACTAACATACCTTATTTAATTAAGATAATTTAAAATTATTTCAAAATGAATTTTTGGATTGTAATCTTTTAAATTATGGAATTTTCGGATTTAATTTCAACTAATGTAGATTACATAATATATAATTGTGTAAAAATTAATCTTGGGACATTTGTCTTGAATGTATAGATGGGTTTTAATTAACTAAGAGTAAGTAATAATGTATATCTATATGCAATGATGGTTAGATAGTAGAATTTGAAGTATGTGATGATGGTAATGTGATTTAATTTGATGGGTGTTATAAATGCTAATTAAGTTGTCAATTAGAATGTTCAAATTGTGTTAATTAATAATGTTTACAATGTATAGAAGGATGGGATCTAATTGAAAATTAATGTTTACCAAATTGTGGAGATGGTATAACAGTTCAAACTGAATAATGTGATGATGGTAATTAAGAAGTTGGGGATGGCTGTTATGAATGTTAGGCAGAATGTTCCTATTGTGAAATATGCAATTATTATAATAAATGTTAAGTTTGTTAAGAGCATTTCCATTCTGTTTAATAGATATGTTTACCTATTTGTGGGGATAATTATGTAGAATCTGGTTTAGAAGAATGTGATGATGGAAATTAAATTTAATATGATGGTTGTTATAATTGTTAATTAGAATGTGATATTAGATGTTAGAAATGCATTTATGGTTAATGCAAAGACATTTGTAAATATGATGAATTGGAAATTGATGGAAAATGTTTCAAATTTATATCTGAAGATAAATATACTATAAATTCTAATGATTGTTCTAATGGATGCTAAGAATGTTTATAAGATGAGTGTTTATTTTGTTTGTAGAATTATATACTATATAGAGGATTATGTTATGAAAGTGAATGTGGAAATGGAATAATAGAACCTCTTGAAGATTGTGATGATGGTAATTCTATAAATAATGATGGATGTTCTAATTAATGTAAAATTGAATATAATTGGAATTGTTTTAGTAAGGACTAATAAGTTAATCAGTGTTTTTCCATTACACAAGCATCTCTAGAGTATTTAAATTAGACAAATTATTACCAATATATTCAACTATTGTATTCTAAAAAAATTATTCTTGGCAATAATTCAGTAATCGAAAATTTTTCTGCAAAAGATTCATTTAGAATTTTGGGATTAAAATCTGATGAATATCTTATAAAGTGTAATCCAAAAGTTCCTATTTCTCAAAATGAGTTTAAAAATATTCAATATGAATTCTAAATATATTTCTATTACTAGATAAATACTAACCTTATATTTAATATTTAATTAAATGAAACTATTTTGGATGAGAATTAGATGCTTATATTACCAACTAATTTATCAATTGAACTTAAAGTTCCTAAAATTTTGACAATGTCTCAATTAACAGCTCTAAGACTTTAAAAACAATTGGCCATAGTATGATGATAAGTTTAAGTTGCAGTGGCTTTTTAATGTTGATTTTAGGAAAATTTTCATAAATAATTTCATTATTAGACATACTTTAATAATAATAATTTTTAAAATACTTAAATGTTGAATATCCTTAAAACGTTTATGTTTATTTTGAATCTTCAAATTTTATTACTTTGTAACCTTTATTGAATTATCTAAATTTTTAAAATTTATATTAACACATCTTTTCAAAATAGTTTTAATAGAGTATAGGTAAATTTAAAGAGTACTAAATAAATGCTGATTTCCTTACCAATATTGATAGTTTGATATTCTAAATTTTTGTTGGATGTACCTTTTGTTTAATGCTCTATTTATATGAAAAATATATATCTAAACATATTTCTTTGTTGAAAATTTTCCATTTTATTCGAAATAGAAGATCAAAATTTATAGAATCTATCTTTATTTATCTTTATAAATTTAAAAAGAAAAATTTAGAAATTTAAAAGATCCTGTGTAAAGAAAATTTTATATAATTTATTTATGCAAATAGTTAAGACTTAATTTTTAAAGTTGGTATATTTTTAAATTCCAATAACAATTCAGAAATTCGATAAAGAGTTTCATTATTAATGTGTTTTGGGTACTTAGGAAATATAATTTTAATTTTGTTTTTTGGCGTTGGAAAAAATAAGGGTTTGATAAAGCTTACAGAAACTATTCAATTAAAACATGAGAAATTAATTTTATTTAAACAACTTTCTTTTCATTTTTGTTTAACATAAATTCAATTTTATCCTATATTGTAAAGTCTACTAATATCATTAGTTAATACTTCTTATATTATTTTGATTTTAGGTTTTAAATTAAAAATAAAAAAAATTGAGCTGATAACTATTTTATCAAATGAAATTCCAATTACAATATTCATATTATTAAATACCTCATATGATTATAATTTTCAAATCTATTTAAATATACATTAACAAATATATATTGGATTTGTATAGATTGGATTGCTAATTTTCAGTTTAATAGGTCCTTTTTTGTAAATTATATTTGAGTGTTAAAGAACTAATAACGAGATTTAAAATAAAATATCTACTAATATTTTAACTTTAGCATACTGAATATACGAAAAGATTTTATATGTTTGTGAATTTATATAGTTTTTATATATAAAATAATAATTAAAATTAAAGAATAATTTTATTGATGAATTAACTTAAAATTAGATATCAAAATGAGCTTAAGATGATTCAATTCAAAATACTAAATACATTCTCATATTTTATCTATCATTTGGTTAAAATGATAATTATTTCTTATATTAATTTGTTAATTAATATTAATGAAAAATAATTTTATCATTTTGCTTTCTTTACAAATTTGTTTAAAATATTATTTATTAACAGAATAATAAATGAATTAAATTATAATAATCTTTTAAGAAATTCTATTGTGCTGTTGAATGGTTTGATATATTTTACAATTCAGTATAAAAGTTGTTCAACAATTTCTTTAAAAGTATCCATTGTGATTCTTAAAATTTCTTTATGTATGAGTTATTTATTTTTCAGTATAAGACTTTACTTTTCAATTTTATCTCAACTTTTTTGAGATTAATTAAACTTAAAAATTATTTATTGTATTAAATTTTAATCCTTTTCATTATTAAAAACACAATAAAATAATTTTTATAGGTTAATTCTGAATTCTCAATATATTAACAGAAGATAAAAACTTGCAATATAATTATACAAAAATATAATATTTGTTTTTTAATATGAATGGTGTTACTGTCTAGCTATAATCTTTGCTATTAGCCAGCAGCATTAGTTCTTTTAAATGACAGAATTATCATTAAAAAAATCGATGATTCATAAATTAATTGAGAGGTGTGCAAATAAGGCACATAAGGAATATAACATCAAAAATATCCTCTTTGTGATCCATTTATGCTAATCAAGAGAAACATTTCAAAGGGATCGTTTGAAAGAGATGCTTAAAATATACTTTATGCATATAGATTTTCTTTGGTTATCAGGTCGAAAAATGTATGAATTATTTAGTTAAAAATAATTGTAGTCTCTGATCTATTATTCATAGGTAAAATTATAAATACTGGTTTTAACAAAGGCCAAAATAAAAAATTAATCAATTTTAATTAGAAAAAACAGCTTTTATTAAATTAAATTCTCATATTACTTTCATTTATATCTTTACTATTTTAATTAAGAATCTCTTAACTTAATTTAAATAGTCTATTTTTTTTTAAAATTTGGCATTTATTCTTACGAGATATCAATATGAAGTTAATATTCCTGGAAATAAAAAACCTTAAATGAACTATATTTAAAGGTTAATATAATAATATTTTCTATATAAATTCATTCATAATTCCTTATATTTTCTAATTTGTATTTCCTTTGACTTAGAATCCCAAGTGATCAGATATTCACCGTTTTCACTTAATTAACCAAAGATATAATGATGACCAAATTGAATAGTTTACTCAATCATAAAGTCTCCGTTCTCTTTTTTCCTTATTAAATTGATATTCTAACCATTTTTATTCACTAAGAGACATTTGGATTTTATATATTATTATGGAAATAGATAATCACAACTATTTGAACCAGATTTTACAGTAATTTCCTTAGTCTTAAAAAATTATTTATTACAACTATTCATCTCAAATACATGCATTTATTCTTAATATATAGGTTAGAATGTGAATTAATTATCATTTATAAAACACAATCTATATCCATATTAGTATACTTTTATCGTCTACATCACACTCCATATGCAATCCTTTTGAGAATATTCCATTACTATTATTTATGAATCACGTGAACAAGATATCAATTTATTTTACATTTAATTCAAACTTAATTGATATATGGATTCAGTATGATTTTTAATGGTTTATTAACATAACCATCCATTTGATTTATTCCAAAATTTAATAGATAGATCACTACTGCCTGAAATAATTACATCTTCATCATTTTTCAATAATAAAGAATTAATTTAACCAGAATGTCCATTTAATCTTTGTTAGATAATCCATTAATTATTTTGATTAATCTACCATATTATAATTTACTTATCTTCGCTTGCAGATATAAAATTATTCGATTTCTTCATAAAATTTAATGTTAAAACATTTAATTAATGTTCACTTAAGACTTATATTTAATTTAATTTCCCTTATTTAAATTCAAATACTTTAATATTCTTATCACACCCTGCTAAAACAATAGAATTATCTTTATTAATAGCTATAGCAAAACAATATTATCCTTATCTAATAGTATTTTAATTCAATATTTCAAAAGTAAATGGTTATAGTTTTTGTTTTTGGATATTTAGATGTTTCTGTTTTTCGAAAATCAATTCTTTTATTTCAAAATTTTTTTGAATTAATAAATTATCACTTGAACTTGAATTCGTTTATTTTTTTTTGCCTTCCAAATTTACTTTTACAATCAAATTAATTTGATCGATTGATTATTGAAGTTAATTAGTCAAAGTTTTCTCACAAGATTCAATTAAACATAAACTTTTAATTATGTTGTCAATCTATGAAAGTCCAAAAGTAGATAATTATACTATATTAATATTGAGTATGTTAATAAATTTATTAAGAAGACTATCAATGGCTAATTTGCACTCTTAAGCCTTTTATTAAATATTATGAGCAATAAGTACTCTTTTATTAATCCATCCCTCTAAAAGTTCTAATGATGTTAAATTGTTAAGATGTTGGCCATGATTAGGCAGGCAAAAATTGCAATACGGTCTTTAATACTAACATATACCATCTATACAAACTCCAATTATTTGCTGATTTAAATGATCAGCTTAAGTACATCTAATTATCATTTTTAATTTCTATTAAAAATAATATTTCATAATCAGATAAGTAATTTTGGTTTAAAACACTAAAAATAAAACATCTTGATCAGAATTATCTTTAGAATATAATCTAAATGATTGTTAGAATATAATTTCAAATAATAAAACATTTTATTTATACAATTAATTTGTATCAGCCATTATATCTTTGAAAAATATTTAATAATTACTAAGGACAAAGAAGAATTATTCAAAAATAAAATACTGATTTATATATTAATATGAAATTAAAATTATCCTAATACTATCAGAACTTAAAATGATCAATATATAGAGATATAATTATACTTAAAATTTAATAATTTTTTAATAACCATGATATATTTAACATGTTAGTCAATATGAAAAAAATTAGAAAAATAAAATAAATATTAATTAAAAGGAAAGATTAGAGAATATTATAGACTAATGAGCCAAAATTTAGATAAATAAGCTTTTCAGAATTGCCCCTGAGTAGAAAGAATTTTTTAATAAAATAGCTTGCTGTTAAACAATTAAAAAACTCAAACAAAAGTGATATTAGAAAGGTAGGTCAAATCTGAGAATTTTTGACTTTTTCAAATGCTTATAATTGTATTGATAGATATAGATTGATTTGATTATGAAAACTAATGAAAAATAGTCTCAAAAAGTTCATTAAGGTTTGTATTGTCTCCTTTTTTTTACATATACTTTAATTAAATGATTGTAGATTTTGAAAGATTCTAATATGGATATATAAAAAAATTAAGATTGTATTCGGATAAATATCTATTTATGCTTTTGCTTGTGATTTGGCTTTAGTTTAAATATCTAAAATTTTAAATTAAGTTAGTATAGTCTAATTTTTAAGCAATTTTAGTCAAGAAAATCTCAAACTAAATCAAGAATTTTAAGTAAATATGGAAGAATATAATAGGATATTATCAATAAATATCTTAGATTTTATCTTTTAGTAAGAGGTAGGAGAGATAAATAAATAATATTAACCTATTAAAAAGGTTGTTGATTATTTTGCTTATAGACTTAGATCTCTTTCTCAATAATGTTTCCTATAAGAAAATTGAATTGTGGAATACTTATATAAGACCTCATTTGTAATATGATTCTCTAGTTCTTTATACTTAATCTAATAAATAATAAGATTTAAGAAGATCTTCTATTAAATAATAATTATTTGGAGAACTTCAAGATTTAATTTTTGAGAAATTTAAATTTAGAACTACTTTTTTCAATAATAATAAGGATTAATTAGAAAAGAAATCTATATTATAAAATATTAAATACTATAGATATTCTAAGGATATAAGAGGGATATAAGAAGGAAAAGATAGAAAATAAAATATAATATTGTTCTGAATTTCAAATATTTTGATAGATTTAAATTTATTCGGGTTTAATTTAAAACTTGTGATGAAAGATATTTAGAAAGATGGGATTATAATAATGTAATTGATTATACTTCTAGGATTTATTAAGTTTTTCAAAATTTGGAAAATATATTAAAGAAATAGCTGAAAAAGAAGTTATATATCCAGATGATAAATCTTAATAATTGGGTTTGTGCTAATAATATGAAAATTTAAATAAAGAGCATAAATCTCTTTTTTTTTTAACATGGCAATTTTAAATGAAGGATTTACATATTTATATAATTATAATTCAATTTTTTTAGCATTTGTAAATATGGATTTTATATAATTGTTAAATTTTATTATCAATAAATTTAAACTTACAAAAGAAAATTATTTTATGTTTATCATTAGTTTGTTTTTATGTAATATTTTGAATATGTAATTATTTCGAGGGCATGAATAAACCATAATTTTTTGACATATATAATTTAATATTTCGCTTTACATTTTATTATGCAAATATAGATATAGATATTAAAATAAAAATTCTATAATATATATCAAAAGATTACTTTTAATTTATTCACTCTTTTTAGATATATGTTAAAATAAAAGGTCCTTTCTCATCTACCTTTTTATCACAAATTTTGATTGCATGAATTAAAAAATAGTTCTATCCAGTTATTATATTCTCATAACTCTTCTTTCAACCTGAAATTCCAATTTTATTATTCCTTCCACTAATCACTACTTAAAGAATATATTTATTTATTATTATTTTATGCATTAATCTATTTGAAAAATATAAAAGATAGATTTTCTATTTTAAAATTTCATGGATCAGCACAATCACTTAATAATAAAAATAAAAAAAGTTAATCGAGTCTTTCTAATTAATATAATTCCTTTTCTAAATTTGATATATTATTTAATTATTATTTTAGAAAAACACAATAAAATAAATTGATCATTTTAATATTTTATATGCTAAATTGTACTCTTTATAAATAATAAGAAGGTCTTCAATTCTTTTCCAAATATATTATATATTATATAAATGCCTTATCTAAATTATCTTTAAATGTATTACCTTAAATCAACCGAAAAAGGCTCCATTTTAAATATTAAGGTTATTCCATACAAACTCATTTTATACTTGAATGTTAAAGTATTTTAACCTAACAATTATTGTACTATGTACTATGTACTATGTACTATACTCTAACCATCATATTTAACATTTAGTGATTCATCTGCAAAGTTTATTTTTATACTATTTCTAAAAACAAAGAAGTTGATGGAATCTTGAGATGAAACAATTTATTGTAGGAACATCAATCGAATTAGCAAGACCGAAAATATTCTTAAATTTTTTGTGTTAATATGATTGATAATGAGATTCAATAATCACTTCTTGTATATTTTGGATTAGATGATAGCATGGATAATCAATGTTTTGAAGTTCAGAAAATTAAAATCCTAAAATACTTCTTCAAATCCTTTAACTACATAGTAATTCATCTATTCATCTACAAAAATATCATGGTGAATTTCTAATTTCTATTTATTTATTAATTAAAGAATTTTATCAGTTTTAAATAATTAATCAAATCAATTACCAATAATTAATTGACCATAACCAATAAGTTTATTTTATCTCAAGATGATGACATTCTCTTCTGAAAATATTTTTTTTGATCCCACTTAACTGCTTATATATTAAATGACTATTTGGCATATTAAAAGAAATCTGTCTTGGTTTTCTTCTATTATTCATATATTAATCTTATTGGTTTTATTTAATTGATATTCTAATCCAATATATCCATTATCTTATATTTTCTATGGTAAGCCTAATCAAATGATCAAAATATCCTAATACCTTATAAAACAACTGCAGTGTAACATGTTAGTGAATGCCTAACTAATTGCATCCTAGATATTTAAGTGAATAAAATATATTACATAGAAATAGTTTCATTTTAATAGATATTTTTGGTGTTCCTTTTTAAATTAATGTATATTTGCATTTACGATTAATTTTTAAGGTTTATAAAATATTTAATTCATGATAATATGCTTATTTGTACATCGAACAAAAAATTTCTGAAAATTAATAAAAGGTTGAAAATTTGTAATTTTCTTTTTCATTCTATATTTTTTTGCCCACTATTAATGATAGAATTGCGGGATTTATAAATCTACATAATAAATAATTTTGATTATAATAAATATATTTAAATGAAAAAAGCCATACCTTGCAAAAAACATCCAATTTTTTCTACGTAATGGGTTAGGATTCTCAAATAGAATATAGATTTTGGATGTATAAAATGTTTAGATGAAATTAAAGATAAAACACATATTCTATATTTACCAGAAGTAAATTAATAAATTATATAAATAGGTTATTTAAAACCCAAGTATTCTAGTACCTCATATTCCAATTGAAGACAAATACAAAACCCTATATAAAAATTTGAATGAATTCTAAGAGGAAAATTTAGAAAAATATTATGGAGAATTGGAAAAATCACTAATTAGTTTATGCGAATATTTAAAGAATTTTATTTAGAATGGAAGAACATGTTTAGAAGAATTCAAAAAGAAATGTAAAGAATCCAGAGACTTACTGTATTAAGTATACAAAAGTTCTTAATTTTTAGTAATTCAAAATAGATTAAATTTACTAACTAATTAAAGAATATGAATTCTAAGAAAATGAAGATATTTAGAATTAAATAGAAAAAAAATTAAATGATATAAGAGAAAAAGTGAATGAAGATTTGATGAAAGAATAAAGTAGCAAGATTAAAAAGATATCTGATGAAACATTATTATCAATATCTAAGTAAATACTTAAAAAATTTTAGATTAAATTTAAATTTTAATAAATAAATCAATTAAATATCAGATTAAATCAATAAAAATGCATAAGAGTTACAGAGATACTTCAGTCAATCATTTATTTCTATATATAAACCAGATTTAAAATTAGTTATTTATAACAGAGACGAATAGTAATACCGTAATATATAAATTCAAAGCTGTTAAGACTTTGTTTAGATAGAAAGATACGGTTTTGGGTTTGCAGCATAAAATTTCCCTTATTATAGTTCAAGGATTTTACCACAATATTATTTTGAATACATTTTACAATAAGATACTTTTTAGTAAAATCTGTTTTCAAATTCCTATCTTACTTTGAAAGGCTACAATATATTTGAGCCAAAAAATTAAGAAATTGTAAATGGATAACAATTTTGGAACTAGGATTCCAAACTAAAAAGTAAGAATTGGTAAATTAATGCTAAATTAATGATATTTAAATCTAATAATAAGGGAAACCCTATTTTTGGTTATTTCGTATCCAATGAAATAGAATTCATTTTTTCATATACTCATAATGAAATTTATCATAACAAATAAATAAAATAAAAAAGGCAAAACGGTTTAATAATTAATCCTATATAATAATAATAAGCCAAAAATTAAATAGATAGTTTTATAGTAGGGAATTATGATATGGAAATACATGCTAATTTGATTGATGGAAAATCAATATTGGGTCAGGAATTCATATGGGATAGCTAAAATAATGAAATAGATAATACTGAATATTTGTTTGGAGGAGCTAAGCCAAATATTCAGCTATGTGAAGTATTTTATTTTTGAGAGAATGAAATATATACAAAATCAAATATATTCATAAAACATAATTTTCTAATATTCAAATAATAAGTATTGTTATTTATAAAGATATTCATTAGTAGATATACACTTAATATCTATTTATATTGTTTATAACAATGGATTTTATCAATTCTCTTCTAATTTAATTCATTTTTTTAGCTAAAACCAATAACTCCTTTTTAATTATATGAACTTGAAATTAATACTCATTATGTTAATGTCGAGATATTTTTTTAATTATCTATATCTTACATGTTCTATTTCAATAATTTTAAAATTAATATATAATTATATCAATTTTAATTTTACTTAATTTCAAGTAGAAATTTAATTGAAGATTCAATTTTACTATATATATGAGAGAATTAATGAAATTAGTAAATATTTATTTGAAAAAAAACTCTACATTTTATTACAGTAAAATTATCAAAACTTAATGAAATTTCTCAATTTAAATTCCAGAGACTTTTAATTTTTATATTTTTTTTATCATTGATAATTTGATGATATGATTCGAAGAATATTGATAATATTTGCTTTTTATAAATCAATTTGCGAATAAGCTCTTCAGTTGAATAATATCAAATATTCATTATTTATACAAGAAATATATGCTGTTTAATAGTTGATAAATTGTAAATATTCAAATACTTCATTATATATATTCCTTTAGTCATGTATTACGAATAATTTTTGATTTTGTCAAAAATTTATCCTAATAAATTATGCGATATTCCTTTTTTTTATTCTTATTTCTGTCTGTTATGATAAAATAATTTAAAGACGAAGTACATAATATAATTATGATAATTTAATATTTTTTAGGCTTGATAGAATTTTGAGGATTATTCAATTTATACAACTTTTAATAAGCTTAGTAGTTTGAATACTTATTACTTCAGATAATTCTTAGAGATTGTATAAATATAGGTTAATATAATTACTTCATAAGAATTATTTAGTTTTGCAGCGAAATAACAAATTTCTAAGGCTCATTTGTAGCTTCATACCCTAAAATTTTAACCTAATTACTAATCTTCGATACTTATTTTATAAGATCTTTTTTGAGTCTAAGGTTGATTCAATATTTATTTTGTATTATATCAATCTAATATTTGATCTTATTTAATAATTGAGAATGTATTTTTTCATTTAAATATCAATTATATTAAGATTATATTTCATGGTATTACAAGAAAATTAAATCGAATTGTATAAACAANTTAGTAGATATACACTTAATATCTATTTATATTGTTTATAACAATGGATTTTATCAATTCTCTTCTAATTTAATTCATTTTTTTAGCTAAAACCAATAACTCCTTTTTAATTATATGAACTTGAAATTAATACTCATTATGTTAATGTCGAGATATTTTTTTAATTATCTATATCTTACATGTTCTATTTCAATAATTTTAAAATTAATATATAATTATATCAATTTTAATTTTACTTAATTTCAAGTAGAAATTTAATTGAAGATTCAATTTTACTATATATATGAGAGAATTAATGAAATTAGTAAATATTTATTTGAAAAAAAACTCTACATTTTATTACAGTAAAATTATCAAAACTTAATGAAATTTCTCAATTTAAATTCCAGAGACTTTTAATTTTTATATTTTTTTTATCATTGATAATTTGATGATATGATTCGAAGAATATTGATAATATTTGCTTTTTATAAATCAATTTGCGAATAAGCTCTTCAGTTGAATAATATCAAATATTCATTATTTATACAAGAAATATATGCTGTTTAATAGTTGATAAATTGTAAATATTCAAATACTTCATTATATATATTCCTTTAGTCATGTATTACGAATAATTTTTGATTTTGTCAAAAATTTATCCTAATAAATTATGCGATATTCCTTTTTTTTATTCTTATTTCTGTCTGTTATGATAAAATAATTTAAAGACGAAGTACATAATATAATTATGATAATTTAATATTTTTTAGGCTTGATAGAATTTTGAGGATTATTCAATTTATACAACTTTTAATAAGCTTAGTAGTTTGAATACTTATTACTTCAGATAATTCTTAGAGATTGTATAAATATAGGTTAATATAATTACTTCATAAGAATTATTTAGTTTTGCAGCGAAATAACAAATTTCTAAGGCTCATTTGTAGCTTCATACCCTAAAATTTTAACCTAATTACTAATCTTCGATACTTATTTTATAAGATCTTTTTTGAGTCTAAGGTTGATTCAATATTTATTTTGTATTATATCAATCTAATATTTGATCTTATTTAATAATTGAGAATGTATTTTTTCATTTAAATATCAATTATATTAAGATTATATTTCATGGTATTACAAGAAAATTAAATCGAATTGTATAAACAATCCTTAAAATATTACATTATTTTTGATCCATTAATAACAAAAAATTAATTTGTATTAATAATGATATATATTGTTACTCATTTTCACTAATTATTTGAGCTTTATCTATTTTATTGATACTAATTTATCCATCAGGCTTTTCAACTATCTTTAGAGTTATCTTAAAATTCCTCTAATAATTCATTAGTTTCCTATTCTGCTTGTTCAACTCTAAATTTTTCATCTATTTTTTAAATAGCAATTTTTATCATGACCCATCAATTAATGCTCTTTTTTTAGATTTACCCATTTCAAATGTCCATAGTTAATAACAACAATAAAATCAAATGATGATGTTGCAAAATGTGATTCATCTTTACAGACATCTATATATTAAATTTCAACTTAATATGCTTTACCCTGTTTACTAACTTCCTTAATGTCTTTTTTAACAAAATTTCTATTATTATTTTTATAATCATTACTTAAGCAATATCTTCTTATCCGTAATTTATTGCTGTTACAAATGTATCAGCATAATTATTCTTTCTAGCTTTATCTAAGACTTTTTTAATAATTGAGGCTTTTAATCTCTAAAGCTATCCGAATATAAAGTATTTAATTAAATGCATTATTGATGGTTCTAATTAAAAATACATTTAGTTATATTATTGTTTATAAAAATATTCATACATAAAAATTAAACTTAAAAAAGAAATTCATTTTGATTTTGGAGTATAAAATTGGGATATTAATTATAAATCTCATTCTTATATTCTTTTCAATATACCTCTAAGCAATATTGAGAAGACAGAATTAAGTTAATATTTTTTGGTTTATGAACAGAAATAATATATAATAATGTTCAATATTTAATTAAGTATTCATTTAACAAATAATGGGCTTGTTTTGAATTATATAATTAATTATATATATATAAAATAAATAAAGTCATAATTTTATATGACTTAATTAGATTGATTTAATAATATCATGTCCCTAATAATTAACATTTTTTATGATAATTAAAAAATTAAATGAGTTTAAATATTTAATTAAAAAAATGAGTGAATTGGTCTTAATCAAAGAACCTCAAAATAATAAATAAGCAATAAGAGAATTAATTCTTCCTTCTTTATAAACAGCAATGAGTTTTATCTTGGGATACCTTCCAAATACAATTTCGATATACTTAATTGAATTTAAAGAGTAGGATTCAGTATTAGTAGGAGCTTTAGGATTGGGTATATTAATTACTTAGGCAGTTGGTATGGGAATTTAGAATGGTATTGCAACTGGTTTGGAAACTTTGGTGTCTCAAGCATATGGAGCAAATCAATTTGAATTGTGTGCAAAACTCTATTACAGATCCTTATTTGTATGCACATTATTTATGATACCTATATCAATATTTTTGATATTTTCAACACAATTGATGTCACTTATTAATAGGTAAAAATTTGATTCACTTTAGTAACGAATAATTAGTATAAGAAGCAGGAAGATTTAATAAATATATGGTTGCAGCAGTATATTTAGATGCAATTTTTGTAAATACTAAGGTATTTCTAAATGGTTAAAATATTTATAATTATCAATTTTATACTTAACTAATCTCATGCATATTTTTTTTTGGGATTAGTTATTTTTTTATTGTTTAATAGGGAATGGGATTAATTGGATGTTCTTTAGGTTGGACATGCTTTGAAATCATAAATAATATACTTTTATTTTCATTCATTTTTATAACAAAATGTTGTGAAGCTACATTATTTCGATTTAAAATTGTATATTTACATAATACAATCAAATTTCTTAAAGAAGCTATTCCTATTGGATCTATTTTATTGTTGGAATGGATAAGTTATGATATATATTTAATACTTGTTAGTTATTAAGATGAATCTATTATTAGTGCACATGTTTTGATGGCTAATTTTGCATCATTCATCTATTAGTTTAGCTATGGTATTTCTATTGCATCCACTACATTTGTTGGAAATGAAATGGGCAGAAAAAATATACAAATGGCCAAAAAATTTGCCAAAGCAACTTTTTTTATTGTTACAATTTTCTTAGTAATTACTTTGGGATCTTTCACTATTTTTGGAAATTAATTAATTGAAAAAGTAAGTCATGAAGAAGTTGTTGTTTAAGAAATATAAGATATATTGTATATTTTGGTATTCTTCATTTTTATAGATGGTAATATATTACACTTAATATTTTTAGGATTGTAAGCTATAATTTCTGGTTTAGTAAGAGCAGTAGGTAGAGAATCCAGTGCCTCTATAACATTTATATTTTGTTATTTGGTTTTAGGTGAAGTTGTGGGATACTTTTTATGTTATCCTTTGAATTTGAAACTAAAAGGTATATGGATTGGTATGACAGTTGGAGCTTTAACTTATGATATTATACAATTTATAAATTTAATTTGGAAAGATTGGAATGAACAAGCTGAATTAATTGAAAAAAAAATTGAAGCTTTGCATCGTTTATAGATCTAATTGTTATAGACTGAAGAAGAAATATGATGTCTCTTCATTTGATATTTTAAATGTATTCAACCATAGTTCAATTCAATGTCTATATTATTAAGGTTTCTGAAATCATTTTTTACCGTTAATGACTTTTTATATATTAATAAATAAATTTTTTTTTTTTTGTAATTATATAAGTGTTAAAAAGATGAGAAATTCTTAAATTTATCATTTAATGTTCAAACTAAGTGATTTTTCTAATTATTTAATTATAAATTTTTATTTCTTTAAAAGTTTGATAAAATTTTAATTTATAATTAAAGATAACTGTTGGAAAAAAAATACTTAATAAATTGGTTAAGCTTTTAGTTTCTTTTTACTCTACATTTATATTATAAATCTATTATATTTTGATCAATAAATCTCATTTTATTTGTTACATTAAAATTTTAATATTTCATCTTCCTTGTTTAATTTACTTTCAATTAATTATAAGCATTATATAAAGGATGATATCAAATTTAAATTTCAATAATTTATAAAATTCTCCTTAATTTATTTTAAAATAAAACTAGTAGCACATATTTAGCAATATATGCAGATTAAAATACTAAAAAATAATTATGATTTAAATATTGTTCCACTTTAATATTTTGTTGTATACAATCAAATCTTAATTGGTTATTCAACATAAATATGCATACAATGATACTTTGTAGCTTAATATTATACCTAAAGGTCAAGCCTGCAAATATACAGATTATTTAATAAACACTTAGACAATCTAAAAAGCTCATTATATCAATTGCACATCTCCTACTCGCAATTATATAACTTTAAATTAAGAATAGTAATAAGTTTCAAATTGTGATTTTGAAGGATGTCCAAAAGGAATATGCAAATATTATTGTACTTATAAATGTTTAATATCTTTTGACTTGTATTATTAGGGTACATAGATTAACAACAATGTTTTAACATTTAAACTCTATAATTACAGTTATTCTAATACTTATACATCACCCTATGAATATTAATTAGACTAAGGGTTTTGTGATAATTAAAAATATGAAATTTTGTAAATAAATATAACCCAAACTCAAGCTTCCCTTTTAAATTTCACAATTTCAACAAATTTAGTAGAAGATGCTTAGGTATCAATAAAAAACCTTTATATACTCAATTATCAATTTAATTGTTATCCAAGATGTTCAACTTGTGTAGGTCCTGAATATAATCAATGTTCGACCTGTTTTTATGGTAGCTAATCAGAATAAATTTGTCCAACTTGTCCATCTGATTATTACTATGTTGAATACAAGGGTTGTCTACAAAAATGTAATTTTATTGAGCCTTTATGTTTAAATGGGTTTTGTAAAATTTGTTCATGTAAAATACTTGAGTAATTTTAGCTTATATCTAATATTCTACCAATCTATCTAATTCTTCTGAATAGATCTTATGGTCAATAAAATATGATACTAAACAATATTCTAATATACAATAACCTTAACTATTATGGTTTAATTAATTTTTTTATGGAATATTTAAATATAATAATGGAATATCTAGATTTATATATGAGATTATACCAAAAATTGGTTATTATATTGGGATTAAAATAAAATTAATTCTTTTTGATGATTTACCTCTTGAATGCGGAATTCATTTTAAGTTTAATCGAACTTATTATGGTTCTATATTTAATACAAGTTCAGGAATCAAACTACATAATTTTACATAAAGTAATTGTATAAAATAAGAACTATCTTATCTATTAAGTACTAATAATTATTTATGTGAAATTTATGGATATTTTGACATTCCTTAATATCCATTTTTATTCACAGCAATAGGAAATCTTACGTATATTTTAATATAAATTAGAAATTAATATGCTGGTTGGGGATTGATAGGTATAAAAATTACTACAGATTATTGTACTGATTATTGTTTAGTTTGCGATATATCATATAAATGTAAGACTTGTGAAAGTCCATACTTATTATATCGAGATGGTACTTGTATCTTAAAATGTGATAATGTGTATTAATCCAATAATTAAACTTATTGTAAAGATTTTGATGATGAAACACCATGTAAAATTTAATATATCATAGATTCTGAACTTATTATAAGTGAAAATATAAATCATACATTTGAGTACAATTCTTAATATAAACTTATCAAATAATTTAAAAGAAATTTCTTGAAAGGAGAAAATATACATTATTCTTTTTGGAATGGATATCCTATCTTTGGTGGTTCATATATATGGGCATAAGCATAATTTGAAAGAATCCTTTTAATAAATAGACCACATCATAGTATTTCAATAGCTTTCTACATTTTATATGGCCCTGAATTTCCATCTGATAGTAAATTTATATGTTCTATTAATGAAAATATACTGATTATTAAAAATAAAAATGATGCGAAATAATAGAATGATGGAACTTTTGTAGATGTTATTTCAGAGAAAATAAATCATAACACAAATACACTCAATATTACTATTGAATGCTAGGGTGAAAATAATGAACCAATAAAAGCTTTTTGTGGATTATACAATTTCTATCTAGTAGTTCATTATTGTCAACCTTATTGTAATAAATGCACAGATCATTTAACTTGTTAAGAATGGAATAGGACAGATTATTTAACATAAATTCAATTTTCTTAAGTTGATTGCAATACTACTTAATATTTTAATGTTCATTAATCATTATGTTTTGATTGCCCTTCATCTTGTAAGAGATGTAACTCAAAATCTGAATGTTTGGAATGTAACGAATAATTCAAATTAACAAATTTAGGTTGTTTTTGCACTAAAGGTTAATTTGAAGAATCCAATTTATGTTAAGACTGTCCAATTTCATGTAATTAATGTCTAAGCTATTCATAATGTATAGAATGCATAGACAGTGTTAATATGGTATTAAGTAATGGTTAATGTAATTGTATTGATGGATATTCATTAAATTCAGATTCAAAATTATGTAAAAGTTCAGGATAAATAACTCTAATAGAATGTAAACCTGAATGTAATAATTGTGTCCTTGGAAAATGTTATGAATGTGATTATAGATGGAATGTAGATCCTTTTGAATATATTTGTAAAGAAAAATGTGGAGATTTTATTCAATTAGTTAGTGAATAATGTGAATCTAGCTTTATTTTACCATACAGAGGGTGTTATAATTGTAAACCAAGATGTTAATCCTCATGTTTAAATTGTAGTACAACTGGTTAAGGTTGTTTGGAATGTGTTGAAGGTTATTCTCTTATTGATAATTTATGTTATTCAATTTGTGGTGATTTGATTGTTACATATGATGAATAATGTGATGATGGTAATTTAATTTATGGTGATGGATGCCATTTCTGTTAATATAGCTGTTAGGATTCATGTTAAGACTGCATTAATGGAATATGTTATAATTTTAATTTAAATCATCCATTAACAATAATCTAATGTGATCCATTATTAGGAAATGAAATATACAATAATTCATAATTATGCAATTTAATAGGAGAATTATATCAATTAAGTGAACGATATAATTATAATTTTGCTTGTGATATAAATTGTTAATCTTGTTTTTTTAAAATTTGTTATATTTGTAATGAAAATTACATGCTTTCAATAGATTCTAGATAATGTATTAAAATTACTTTACTTTTTGATTACTAATTAGAACATTGTTTAATTAATGTTAATAATTATTGTTAATAATGCCATATTTATGCTTATTATGATTAAATAGAATAAAAATGCAAACCAAATCTTTAACATTTAAAGTAATGTTAATATTAGATGATTTAATCACCTAAACAATATTGTAGTTAATGTTTTGAAAATTGTATTTAATGTTCTTATGATGGTTGTATTAAATGTAAAAAAGGATATTATTTTGATGATTAATTGAAATGTATTTCTAATTGTGGAGATGGAATACTTACTGATAATGAATAATGTGAGATCAATGATCAAAATTGTTTAAATTGTTAATTCTAAAATTCTTAATATTGTTTAGATTATCATTAAGAATTATGTTTATAATGTTAATTAGGATTTTATTATAATCTTGTAACCAAAATGTGTACATCTATTTGTGGAGATGGAATCAAAGCTGAAGATGAAGATTGCGATATTGTAAATCAAAATATCAATGTAGGTTGTCAATAATGTAAATATTATTGTAATAATGATTGTAATTTATGCAAAGCAGGTTAATGTCTATCATGTAATCAAGGATATATATTGCTGAATAATTTTTGTTATATTAATGATTTAAGAATAGAAAATAATCTAATTATAGAACAATTAGATATTTTTTAATTTGAAACATATTGCCTTACTAATCTTGGTTATTATTTACCTCTTGTATTTAATTAATGTATACCAATTTGTGGTGATGGTATAATAACTCAGGATGAGGAATGTGATGATAAATTGACATATTAATCTCATATATGTTTTAATTGTAAATTTTAATGTCCAATCAATTGTTTAAAATGTTTATATGGGTAATGTCTTTAATGCATTGAAGGATTTTAAATATAAGAAAATAGATGTTATTCTAAATGTAGAGATTAATTAATCAAATCAGATAAGATATGTGAGGACGATAATAATATTCAATTTGATGGATGCTATAAATGTTAAAATAGTTGTCAAATTGAGTGTCTTGTGTGTTAAAATACTAAATGTATATAATGTATATCTGGATGGAATTTAATATAAGGGAAATGTATTTAGATTTGTGGTGATGGTTAAGTAGCAATTATGTCTGAAGAATAATGTGATGATCCTTAAAACTTAAATTGCAGAAATTGTTAAATGTTTATATGCAATGATTATTGCAAGCTTTGTGATAATCAATAATAATGTAGAATATGTAATGACACATTCAATCTAGTTAATAATAAATGCATAAATATTTGTGGTGATGGATTATTAACATAAGGATTTGAAGAATGTGATGATGGAAATTAAATTGAGTTTGATGGATGCTATAATTGTAAATATTCATGTAGTAAAGGATGTTTGGTTTGTTAAGAAAATAATATTTGTTTATAATGTAACAATGAAGAACAATTTATTCTTGATAATACAACTCATAAATGCTTTACTTAAGATTATTAAGATGAGGAAGTTCAATTAATAAATAAAGAAGATCCACAAAATACAGAGGAAATTTAAATTATTAACAGTGAAGATACAAATAATAATGATGATGATATTCAAATACTTTAGAGTGATTACTAATAATTTGAATTGAATTGTGGTAATGGTAAACTTTAAGCTAGTTTGAATGAAGAATGTGATGATGGAAACTTACTTGGAGGAGATGGATGTTCTGAATCATGTTTCAATGAGCTTTCTTTTAAATGTTAAAATCTTGAAAACGAAAAAAGTGAATGTGCATATATATAAGCTCCTGATTTTAATTTAAATGTAATCACTAATTCATAGAATTCACTTTAAATTATTGATCTAACTTTTTCTTAATAGATTAAATTAAATTAAAATAACACAATTGAATCTATTGCTGACTTTTAGATTAAACCAGAAACTAAATATCAATTAACAATTATTCCATTTTCTAATTTAACTAGTGAATTAAAGATGTCTCATTACCAATTTTATATTTAATTTGAATAAAGTGTAGATCATCCTATTTTTACATTAAGGTTTATGGATGAATCAATAATTAATTCTGAAAATATTACCATCAAAAGTGTTTAGAAAAGTATTTAAATAGGAAATCCTTTTGTCTTATCAAACTCCACAAAAAAAAAATTAACATAGATCGTATCGATGAATGATGCAATTATGTATACAATGATAAGTATATCTGCATTATCATTTCTAATTGGAAATCCAGAAATGTTCTTTAATCTATTAAATTTACTATAATCATTTTCTTACATTCGATATGTACAATATCAATTCCCACCTCATTTATCACAATTTCTTGAAACTTACTCTAAAATCTCTTTAAAATTAGCATTAGATTACTTAAAAGTGGATTAATTTTTAGCCTAATTAAACAGAGGAAATTATCCTTAATCAAAAAATACAACCTTATAAACAAATCAGATCAATTAGATAAATCAAATATTTTTGGTCAATGCAAAAAGTTGTTATATTACAGTTTTAACTTCATATCTTACCTATTTAATGTATAAAGTAATAACATCAAAATAAATTGATTATTTCCTTAATAAACTGACCTAATTAAAATATTAAAATATCAAATATTTACAATTTATAGGATTATTTTAAAGAAAAATCCAGTAAAAATGTTTAAAAATGAAGTTTGAATACTTTTCTAAAACTATATTTTAGGTATACCTTACAATACTTCATTAATTTCTCTTTAGTACCTTTATGCAATTTCCAAACTATAGTTTTGAATCATTTTTTGAAGCTTTAAATTCAATTAATTCTCTATTTGCTATTGGTTTGATAATTTTTATTAATTTTAAATCACTTTCTATTACTTCCTAATAAATTAAAAATGTAAATAAATGGAAGTATTTTTTTGAGGAATTAAAGTCTTAATTTTGGGCTTCCAATTATAAATCATTCTAATTGTATCGTATTACCATTTATATTTTTCTAATTGTGTTTTTTATGAATCAGCCTGAAATATAAACTATTTTGCTCTCCCTTCAATCCTTAATTTACTTACTTTATTTATGTAAAGTATAGCCATTAAAATCAAAAAATGAATATATCAAATTAATCTTGAGAGAATTCATTTTCCTTACAACTGTCGGCTCATTTTTAATTTACAGTTTTAATTTAACTGAAGAATAATACTTAATCTGCGGTTGGATCCATATTTCAATGCTCTCAACCATATTAGGTATAAATCTATTTATAGATATGATTGAATTCTTAGGTAAGCTATATGCTAATTACCAAAAAAAAAAATTGAAGTTAGAGAGGAAATAATAAAAGAATATCCAATTTCCACTTTGATTAGTTTAATATGAATCAGATCTATATTGAAATTTATTATTTTATTAATTAATTTAAACTTAAAATGGAAATTTATAAATTTTTTTTAAATTATTTTTGAATAAGTCTTGAATTTTCTATGAGTTAAAACTTATATTCTTTATATTTAAGAATCTATGATATTGAAATTTAAAATTACAGATTTCAATTAATTATGTAGCAGAATTTACTATAAATATATCGGTAGTACATAAAACAGAATTAAAATGATTTTATTAATACATTTAATCTATTTTCAATTATAAAAAATACCAGTATATTTGATTCTTAATGAAAAATTTTATTAGCCTTATTATTTTTGGTTAATCATAAAAAAAAACTTTATAAAATCATATCTCTAATTTAAACTTGGCTTCAGAATCCTATTACAGCTCCTAAAGTATTGATAAAAAATGGAATTATGGATAGGTTATAACTTTTAAGTTTTCTAAATTGAAAAATTAATAAAATGTTATTAATAAAATTTCTTAAATTTATAAGTATTATAAATATATAAATTAAGATTAGCAGATTATTTGAATTCAGGATTGAAATTTCTTGTAAAAATTCATAATTTTTGAAACCTTCCATCTTTTCTATGGTAATAAATAGATGAAATTAATAAATAAACTCATTCATAAATAATAGGCAAAGGTTAAGAATGTTTTTGTATCTCATTAAGTATAAATTCGAATAAATTAAATATTATTTTGATTTCTTTTAATAAAATAAAAACTTAATGTGTCTTAATATCATTCTTATTAAAATAACTATTCAAGATATTTGAAGAAATTATATTTTCTATAGTCATGAGTATTTCTTATTTTAATTACTAATGATCTTAAAATGATTATGTACTGCTAAATCAATGAATCATTTATAATCTATTCAATAGTATAAATAATTTATTGATCAAAATGTATATCAGGCTATAAAGAAGCTCCAATTTTAAAAGTAATTTTTCTTTAAAATAGCACTTTAGAATTCTAGTCTTTCTTTTAACAATCTAAGGGCATGATGTTTTTCTTAAAAATAATTTTCTAGAAATTTGATATCTACTAGAAGAATTTGAAAATTACAATACTATAGACTATATTGTAAGTTTTGAATAGATCCTTTAATTCAGTCTTTATTTTTTGCGGGAATATCTTAGAGTTCTTATGAGTGCATCTATTTTTTAAGAACAAATTATGACAAGAAGCCAATTTAGAACATTATTGCTATGAGTGCATTTTTTCTAAAATCTTATTAGATAGTGAACTAAAATTTATAAATTAAACCATTATCTGTCTAAATTATTAACTAGTGAGTAAGTGCTGGAGTAATTTTATTATGAGATACCAATCTCGAAGAAACGAGGGATTACAGTTTTGATCTAAGATTTATTTAATATATGTCAACTAATTTTACATAATGTTCTTACCCTATTAAGTAATATAGTATAAACTTTTTATTAGGCTTATATTTGTTGTATTTAAAGTTTACTTATTCATCTTTTATTTTTATAAAATCCTCAATGCATATGTACATAATTCTTATATTGTTTAAAAGATTTAAAGTCTCTTGATTGAGCTATTAAATCGTTTTGCTTTTGAGAAATAGTAAGTTTATAGATATCACAATAGCATTAAAAACTTTTTATATTGATAATCTAATTATCTACTTATTAAATTCTGAAAGAAACAGGAATATTACATATATCCAATTTGAAATAAAATTGTCTATTTTTATATTTATATATAGATAATTTACAAAATTTTTGTACTCCTTTAGATTTAATTACAAGAATTAAAGATGATTTTTCTATTGTTCTTCAAAAGAAAAAATTAAGTTTCGTCTGAGTATTATGATTCAAATGAATCCATAATTCCTTTTTATATATTTTTTTAATCATAATTTAGTCATTTTATATTACTTAAGTTTCTTATTGTTTTTTCTTCTTTCATCTTTGAGGACTTTAAAAAATTAATTCGAAGAAACTCAAGCAATAATTATATAAATTCCTTTTTTCTTAGAAATCCAACAATAAAGGGTAATATGGTACCTGTAAAATGATTTTCTTCTTAAATTGGGTTGATAAAGGAACATAATCTTTTGAATATTAAAGTCATTTAGAGTTCCTTCAACCTAGCAGAAGAGTATTAAGACTCTTTTGATAGAGATAATTTCTAAATAATTATCCAATTTATAAACCAAGGACCAAAGAATGATTGCAGTATTTGCAATCATAGCTGTAAAAGAAATTGAATTTAACCTTTTTGAAATGGGAATTAGAGCTATTTCAAAAAACATTACATTAACTTCTTTGAATCAAAACTTATTATCCAATAAGATTGATTTTATAAAAATCAACTTGATAATGAATCTTCCAGATAAAATATTTTTTTTTCATTTTTACAAACTATACTATCAGTATTTGAATGTTCGTCTTAACAAGATAATTTGGTAACTTCCACCTAACCCATTATCCTATCAAATTTTGATGAAATTAGATTACTTCTTATTAGATGATAACATCAGATAGTACTCAATATATACAACAATTAATAAATAAATTGCAGATAACTGGAAATGATCCTTTACTAATTTTCTTTTTAGAAAAGAGTATTGCCGAGCAAAGTTTCCCAGATGACAAAAAACAATATCCTTATAATCTCACCTAAACTCTTTTTTTCTTGGCTCGACCTTCACTATGTTCAGGTTGTCTTACTTTACACAACCAAAAAATATCATGATAATAAAGAAAAAAGGATATTCAAAAAATTAAGTTGATATTGGGTCAATAAAAATGGGAATCGTTCTACTTACTAAAACTTTCAGATTCTGCAAATTGTTATCTTTTCATCGATGAATTTTATTTTGCTTCAAAAAATTAGCTAAATGTAGATTTACTTTACTGCTGAACTAATAAGTCTAGTAAAACTAAGCAAAAATAAATGTTAAGGACAAATAGCAAAAAAAAAACAATCTATCAAAAAAAGAATTACAATAAAAAAAATAAACAAACAAAAGTGTAGCAAAGTCAAAAGAAAAATTATAAATATATTCTATATTTATGCTTAAAAAATTATCATTATTATTTAATAAACTATCATTCTATCTCATTTTCAAATTTCATTTCACCACTTTCCTTATTATTATATAAATCCATCTCCACCCAATTTCCAATTTTTTAACTCTTATTATATTCTCTTCAGATATTTCCACCCAATTACCCTATTTAAATTCATCCCCTATTTCATCATATGATCCACCACCGCTAAAAATACTTAATAATAGTTTTTACATTTATTTCGATTAATCTTCGTTCTACTTTCTAAACAAAATATTCCATCTACCAATTTTTTTCCCATTTTTATAATTACCTTAATAAGTAACTTAAGAATCCCATTTAAAATTTTCAATTTATTCAACCCATTCTCCGGATTTGATTCCATTACCTTCTGTATCATATTATCCGCCACCGCTAACAAAAAATTTAATTACATTATAGTTTTACATCAATTTATATTCATCATCAAACTATTTTCTAAACAAAATATTCCATCTACCAATTTTTTTCCCATTTTTATAATTACCTAAATAAGTAACTTAAGAATCCCATTTAAAATTTTCAATCTATTCAACCCATTCTCCGGATTTGATTCCATTACCTTCTGTATCATATTATCCACCACCACTAAACAAGGACACAAAAATTATCGACTAAAAATACTTTTAATACATTTTCAAGTTTTCTCTATTATCTCCATTCTTTTTATACCATACATCCCATCTACCAATTTTTTTCCCGTTTTTGTAATTACCTTAATAAGTTACTTAAGAATCTTATGTAAAATTCTCAATATTTTCAACCCATTCTCCAGATTTCATTCCGTTATCTTCTTTATCATATTATCCACCACCACTAAAAAAGGACACAAATTTATTAATAGACATAATATTTTATACATCTTTTCATTTTTCCATCCATTTTCAAATCGATTATATTTAATATCCCAATTTCCAATTTTTTTACCATTTTTGTATTCACCAATATAAGTTATTTACGATCTGTCTGTATAGCCATCAGATATTTCTACCCAATTACCCTATTTAACCTCATCAACTCCCTCTTCATACTATCCACCCCCGCTAAAAACCACACATTATTAAATTTAATATCTTTACATTTTTTCAATTTATTTATCCTCATAATTCTTCTAAAACAAAATATTCCATCTACCAACTTTTCTCCCATTTTACAAATTACCCATATAAATTATGCTTGCATTACTATAATAGTATTATATCATAGAGTACTTATTTTCCTTCTAAATTAAATTTCCTTAAAAATCATATATTTAAGATCCACTAAATAATATTAATTTATTTAATATACCACCAAATAAATTAATTTTCTTTAAATTAGTAAATATTCCATCTTCCTGTTTTTTATCCATTTATATATTCTCCAGAGTATGTTACTTATGAATTACAATTAAATTCTTCTGATATTTCAACCCATTTCCCACACTTAATTCCATGACTTTTTTCATCCTATGATCCAAATGATCCACCACCACTAAACGCATAAATTATTATATTTTTTATTTTACATCATTATTTTGCCATACAGAATATCCCATTTACCAGCTCTTTTTCCATTAAAAATTTTTCCTCTTAAGATGATATTAGAACTATAATATTAAGTCTGAACTCATACATGTGTCTCGTTATTAATTCAGTTCCATTCTAATCAAAAATAACATAACTCCTATATAAATATATGAAATTAATTTTCTAACTTTAATTCAAAGTAATCAGTTTTGTTCATTTTTAAGATTTCCCATATTCCAACTTTCGCACCATTTTTATATTCACCATGGTAAGTAATTTAGTTTGAATCACTAAAGTTGTCACTCAATACAATCCAATTACCAATCCTAAATTAAGATACTGCATCATATTCTCCACCTCCTCTGAAATATTATTAATATATAATCCTTACATTTTTTTGGATTATATATCATTTAATAAACTTTTTCAATTAAACAAATATTCCATCTATCAACTTTTTTACCATTTTTATATTAACCATTATATGTTACTTAAGATTCTTAATAAAATCCATCAGATATTTCAACCCATTCACCTTACTTAGTCTCATCACCTCCTTCATCATATGATCCACCACCACTAAATACACAATTATTAAAATTATTTAATAATTTTTACATTTTCAAATTTTTTTAATTATGTCCATTCTCCTAATACCAAATATCCCATTTAGTAACTTTTTTACCATTTTTATATTGACCACTATACGTTACTTAAGAATCTCTAAAAAGTGCATCAGATAATTCAACCCAATTACCCTACTTTATCCCATTATCTCCTTCATCATATGATCCACCACCACTAGAATTTTTTTATTAAGGTTTATATATTAAATGTTTACATCTTCTTATATTTAATACCAAATAAAAACCCTTTTTCAATTTAACAAATATCCCATCTAGCAACTTTCTTGCCATTTTTATATTGACCACTATACACCAATTAAGAATCTCTAAAAAATCCATTCGAAATTTCAACCCAATCACCCTATTTAATCCCATCTCCTCTATCATCATATGATCCACCACCACTAAACAAGCAAATAAATGACTAAACAATAATTCTATACATCTTTTTATTTTCAAATACAATATCCCATCTAGCCACTTTTTTGCCATTTTTATATTCTCCATTATAAAATACTTAAGAGTCCTTCCAAAATCCTTCCCAAATTTCTTACCATTTACCATTTTTATTTCCTTATTAATTATAGTTGCCACCGTTTCTAATTCCATATTAAATTTATGATTTATACATTTCTTTATTATCATAGAGATATTTCCAGTTCCCTATCCTTGTACCATTATCATATTCTCCTATTTCAAAAGCATTAGCTATAGTATTAATAATCATTAGTACATTGCATCGAATAATTTTCAATTAGTTCTTGCCACTTACCTTATTTTTTGCCTTCATTTGAATATTAACCACCTACATCTTTGATTTTTTCACCTTACCATGTGGCTGTCCAAATGCCTACTTTATGATTATTTTCTCTTAATTATCCAAACCATTATAGATGTTTTATTTATTCTAAATTGGTTAGAATTTCAGGTTTTCCTGCAGTGTATCTTATTTAATCTCTAAATGATATATTATTAACTCTTACGTTCTTATTATTGACCCATCTTATAGATATTAGATTTCTTTATTTTGATTAGATTATATTGTTAAATTAGAATAGATAAATCTTCCATGATCACAAATTGCAACTTTCAATTTTTGGCTGCCTTCTTACAATATAATTTATTCATCATTTTATACCCTTTAGAAAATAAAAAAATAATTTCTTACTAAAATATTGAAAGTATCTCTCTCATTTCTTCTTTAAATTTCTAACAAAAAATGATTACTTCTTTTTCTAATAGATCCTTAGCTTTCTTCACTTTAGTCATGATGGAATTCTTTTTATTATTCAAATTATCGACAATTTTGCCATTCAGTAGTTACACAAGTTTTTCCAAGTCAGAATAAGAAGATTCTGTCAAATTTTCATTTTAGGTTATGAGATCAGTCAAAGATTTATTTTCTTTTTCAATCATCTCAAAAATCTTTCTGATTGATTCTGATAATTCTTCCCATAACTATTTCAACATTTCTACAGCTTTAGAAAGCATATATTTAAAATCTAGTCTCTATTTATTTAATTCTTATGTATCATCCAGTTTGTAATCTTTCACTTTTCCATTAAGCATTTATCGAAACTTATTAATCGGAATTGTTTGTTTCACCTCAATTCCATGATCTTATTGGCATTCAACGCACATTTTTCTGTTGATTTCACATCTGTGAGGAGCCGTACATATTAAAGATATTGGAGTTTGTGGATGAAATCTGCAATTCATAATCTTATATTAAATAATACTAATTTCTATTACTTTTTTCTTAGTTTTATACAATATATTGCAAAAGTATCTTTTATATTTTTGTAAATTAGAAGTAAAACTTTCTGTAGATTTGGAATTGATTGTAATTGAGGTAAAATCTGCTATTGAGAATTTAATTCTACATTAGCATTTCTTGATTCTTTAATAATATAGAAAAACCAATTTTTATATGAATAATTATGGTTATTAATAGTCACTTGATTTGAGTTATTTTTTATGATCATTCATTTTTCTATTTAATCCTATTTTGACATAATCATGGTAATTTTTTCAGTTTAATATTAAGAGAAAGGAATAAGTCTTACGAAAATTTGCTCGATCCTTAGTATTTTAGTCATCCTTATTGGATTTAAAGCAGCTTTAAAATTTGCTATTTATTTTAATATTCGAGTAATATCCAATGATTTTGATTTTATAGAAAAGATAAATTTCTAATTTATTTATTAAAATTTCATTATTGTCTTATTTATTCTAATAATTACTATTATTCGCCTTGATATTAATGTTTTGCTTTACCATCTCCCTAAAAAATTATTTCTCTTCTCTTACCTCTTGTATGGATAGGGCGATGTCTACCCTATATACCTGATAATGTTGAAATAAGGTTTATAGATGTTCTAAAATAGAGCATGGTGCCACTTCTTCTTTTGAGAGGAAAAAACTGAAAAATTAATTTTATTTCTGTGCTCTCCAAATCTCATTATTTCTTTATGATATAGAGGGTTTTATATGTGAAATTTATCTAATTTTACAATTTATTAAATTTCTTAGAAGGGTTAAAAATCAAACTTTTTAAAAATTTGCTTTAAATAATTTTTCAAAAATATACTAGCAATTAAACAACAGACATCAATAAAATGTAAATTATCAACTGAAAATTCAATTATTTAAAATAAATAATAATAAGATTTACAATAATTTATAATTGATATGCTTAATTATTTAAATTTCTTATCCTATCCTATCCTCAAATTTTTTATTCTCTTCTTGAATTATTGTTTAGTTCTGGAATTTATGAATGATAACAAATAATAATTGCTTTTCAAAAATTTATCTAAATTTTTCCTGTTTCATCTTTTATAGCCAATAATACCACAAATCCTTCTGATCTGAAATTTATTCATATTAATTGATATAAATTTATTAACTTTGATCATCCCTTTATGTAATTATATACCATCTCAAAAAACTATATCACTACAAATATATTATTTAATTATTCTTTTCAATTAAAATTGAGGTTTTTTTAAGTATTTCCAAAAATCTTATATAAAATATTTTGTCTGCACAAAAATAAAAGAATATTGAAAGAAAAAATCTATATATTTTTTCAAAAAATCATCAAACATGTTTTATCTTTAAGTTAAAGCAATTCATATCTGTTATTAATTAAATATATTACTTATAAACCCTGAGATGTAAATTCAAGTATGTCCTACTTTATTTCTAAATATATTAACTAGTCAATTTCATAAATTGAGTTGTAAATATATAATTTTTTCAATTAATTTTTTAGAATTAAATTAATGATATTTTTACCACAAGGTCAATTTAAAATATCTTCCCTTTTATACAAAATAATTATACTTCAAACTCTTAATATTTCTTTTCTTTATAATCAATAATTCTCACTGATGTTTGATCCTTAAAATTACTCCTTGTTTCAAGTTCTAAAGTGGAGTATGCAGTATAACTTTAAAATTGCATTCGATACTAAGAAAAAGAGAAATTGATAAAATACACCGATTGGAGAAGAATTGCTAATAAATGACTATGATGATCAATTAAAAAATATAAGGACCAAAAAATTCAAATAGTTCAAAAATTATGTAATTTTCATTTATAAATAAAATATCCATTAATAAATAACTATTTTGGATAAGCTCTTAAAATAATAAATCAGATTACCAAAAACAAATATAAACTTTCTAAATCCAAATTTTTTAAAAATCACAGAATCTTTCCTTCATAACATGACTATATGACCATTAAGAGTTAAATAAGAGACATCTCTATCAAGAGATTTGGTGTCTATATAAGTTGATTTCATAGGTAAAATTTAGTAAAAAATATAATTTTTAATAAAGAAATTTTCCCTCATGAAATCTGAAGTGAATTGGAATGGAGAATGTTTAAGAATTGTATTTTTAATTATCGCTTAAGAAAATCACCAAAATTATAGAGGATAGTATAAATGAGATTTTAATTAAAAAATCTTTAATGACTCGTTAAGTTAAAACAATAGAATAGATCTATATTATAAGCGGTTGTATTGTATAAAAATTATGATCATCAAATTATTGAAAGTTAAAAAAAGATAAAATATTAAACAGAATAGTTTTTATTATTTTTCTATTAGAAGAAATGGAAGATTTTTAATAAATTAATCTCCAAATTAAATATTAAATTATATTTTTTAGGTAAAATGTTAACTAAATCTATCATGTCAACAGCGTTGATCAGTAAATTATATTACTTTCTAAATTGTTATTGTTAAAATTTAGAATTTTGCTTATCTAGGAATTCATTTATATTTTAGTCTCAAATTAAGAATGGTTAAATTTAAAGGAAATAGATTTACATTATCCTAAATTTTCCAAAATAAAAAAAAAGCTACTGAAAATTAAATTTTAGTAATTATAAAGTTTAGGCAGCATTTATAAATCTATTGATGTTTCTAGAAAATTCTCGTCAAAAGATTATATTGACTTATTACTTTAAAATACCTCTATTTCTATGCTTTTAAAAAGCAGCCTAATAAAGATTCATTGAGCAATTCTTGAAGAGTCTTATAATTGTTAATTCTTTTATTCATTTCATAAACTTGTCTTGCTACAGAAATTATCAATGTTGATATCACTTATTAGATTGTAAGATTGCTACTAGCTCACAATTCATTTTTATCTGAATACTATTAACTTCTTGTAAAACTGTTGTTAGTTTATTTTAATTTACTTATTATAAGATTCTAAACAATTTAACCCAGTACTATTTTCTTAAATGCTCCAATTTAAATATACAGTTTATTTTTTTAATTAACTATGAGGTAAACTATTAATGGCTTATAAATCTTTCTTTTTATTCTATCTTCATTTTTTAATACTTAAAGTAGGTTTTAGATATATTTGGAATGGATTAAAATAAAATTTAAGAAGATTAGGAATTAGTTTATATTAACCAAGACTTTCTCTATCTTCTTTTTTGTTTATTATTCTACATTTTCGATTAAGGGCTTTATATTAAATTTTTTCTATTTTGTTTTTTCTAACTTTTTGAGGTTAAAATTAATAATTTTTGTATGCAATCAACTGGGCCTTTGATCTCTTGAAAGCTCTGCCTTAAAATTATCTCTCTAATGAAATATTGAAAGTTTATTTTATTCGAATATTATAGAAGATAAAACTTCAAGTTTTCTCATGTCAGAATTGATTAGCATACAATCGCAAAGCTTTCAAAACAGCATAAATTTTTTAAATTAACAATTTGCTTAATCAAAATTAATCTAAATAAAGAAGAGAAAAAATAATTATAAAATAATCAATATATTCTAATTCAAATAATTATATCATGAGAATAATAAAAATAGAAAATATTATAATCAAAATTATTATCCATTATTATAATAGAGAATTTCTAAAAAAAAAATACCTGATAATAAAAACTTGAATTAAAAAAAATGATGTTAATTCAGTATTTATTAAAAAGTATGTTAATTTTACAATTTACTATGAATCTAATTGTTGCAATGAAGTCTAATTGATTATTTTATGCTATATGTCATAAAAATAACAAATTATTATGGTAAATGATTTATAATAAGTCTTAAAATAAATTAAGCCAATATTCTATTTTTTAATTTATATTAATTTCAGGATTCCTTCATAACGTTATTATTTTTTTGTTTCGCTTAACAATTATGAATTCTAATACAATAAATTAAGGTTTGAATCTAGGATTATTTGGTTATCAAAAATTACAGATCATTTTTCATTAATAGAATTAAAAGAGAAATAAAATGATTATCCAAGATGATGTATAAAGTTAATATTTTAATAATGAATTTTCTAATAATTTCTATCATTGTTGGCTTAATCGTTGTTTCAAGTTCATAATGGCAATCATACCATCTCCTATATTCTGATGCCAAATTTACCTATAAAAATGATTCATCAGCCTAAATGCATTCAGGAGGCTTTTTGTTGCCATCTAGAGAAACAACAGCAAATTTTATAGATTGTAATTCACCTTCAACAAGCTATATCACTCTAAATAGCACATACCCATAAACAAGAAGTTCATTTATGATAACACTAAAGAATGGGTATTTATTTTCAGTAGATTTCTACTTTCAAGGTACATGGACATCTCAAACAGTTACTATAATGATAAATTAAGTTTAATACACATATAACTACACTTCCCCTAAAAATTATCAATCTACGTCTGGATTTTGTGATGATTTTGCTTATGAAGTAAAAACAGTTACTTTTACATATTAACAGCCTAATTAAACTTCTGGATAATTAATTTTTACATCCTAAAATACAAATGATGGATAAGTTTCAATTAGAAATATTAGTATTACATAACCAAAATGTTATCCATCATGCAAATAATGTACAGGTCCCTAATTCAATTAATGTACAAGTTGCTATTATGGAATACCTATAAATAATATTTGCCTTTCCAATCCATCTATTTTATAAAATTAGAAGGAACATATATGCAGAGATATTTGTGATATTAATATTAATGTTTCATGTTAATCTAATGGATTTTAAAAATCCTATCAAAGTATTTAAATTGAAATATTTTAGAAGAGACTTGTGTAAAAAATCAAATTAAACTATGTGCTCCTCAAAATTAACTTTAAGAGGCTGAAATATGTATTCCAATTCATGAAGATTAAATAAAAATATCTGATGAACAATATAAGGATTAATTTATATAACCTTATTAGGGTTGTTAAAGTTTCTAAGCTAAATGTTAATCATCTTGCATTTAATGCGATAATACTGGATGTGGCTGTTAGACCTGTAAAGTTGGTTACAGGAAAATTGACAATGTATGTTAGTCAATTTGAGGAGACTAAATAGTAACAGAAGGTGAAGAATGTGATGATGGGAATTTAAATTTTGAAGACGGATGTCATTAATGTTCTTTAAATTGCCCTATCTCATGTTCACTTTGTTTATATGGTCATTGTATAAGATGCAAAAATAATCATATTTATTTTAAAAATTAATGTTATGAAATACAAGAAAAAATTATTATGAAAGATATGTTTAAGATTTAGTTTTCTAATCTAAACATAACTTAAGCTTTTATATAACCTGATTAAGTCAGTACAATTCAAATAAAAATCGAAAATTTTTATGAAATAAATAATCGTTGGTTTATTTAAACCATGGAATCATTATCGTTATTTTAAGAAAATCACAACATAGAAATTAATTTCTAATGCTCTTAGAATAAGAAAGTTATGAGTCAATTTTTTTAATCTTATAATGAGAATGGAATTGATTTTTAGGATAGAATATTTTTAAATGAATGTGCCAATATGGTCGATCAAGTAATAAAATTTTCTTTTAGGTTATAATAAATGATGTGGATAAACAATTAATTGATAATCAGTATTTCTAAAGATGAATTGAAATTATCAACTTTAATTTAAAATTATTTCTATACGATTTTCAAAATTTCATTAGTTGATGGTTGATGAATTTTCATATACTTATAAATTGATTTTGCAATATCTTTGATTTATTCATAGTTATTTATTATCTACAAGGAATGCTTGCATAAATTAAAAAGCAATCCTTTGTTATATATTTTTAAATTTATCCACAGCTAACTTTATTTGTTAGATCACAAGAAAGTAGCTATTTTTTGCAAATAAGAGATGTAAATAAAATTTTTGCAATTTAGGGTATAAATAATTCAATTGGTTGACTATAGAAGCATCACAATAACATGAAATCATCTTTTAAAATTTTATTCAAATAATTGAGCTATGTAAATTTTAGTAAAATATTAGATACGAATTTACCTAATTTTTTAGTGACTTTTAAAGAATAGCATAAACCAATTATTAATAAATTACTTTAACAATATATTGAACTTCAATAATTTATAAATCTCTTATTGGATTGGTTCAAAGATAATGCTAATCTAGAGTAGATATTCTTAATAACAATCAATATTGATGTTTGATAAATTAAAGAAAAGAATTAAAATCAAATAATAAAATCGAAATAGAACATAAAGGCTATTAGATTTCATTAAGTCTCAATTTTTTTTAATATTGATATAATTTTTATAATAATGTTTATTTATATCCCTTTTTAATCGCTTGTACTTAGAATACTATTTTTCTTTTTGTTAAATCACTGATAGTTAACAAAATATAAATTAAGTTGTATAAAATTGAATAAAAAACCCAAATTATTTTTCAACGAAATATTAGTGATTAGAATACTTACTTCTATCAACTTGACTAATAATTTGATTTCTTACATAAATTCCAATTATATGAGGAGAAAATTAATAATAATAATGGAATATCCTTTATTAATTTAGATTAACTACCAATATATTTGGCAAATATCAAGTATTTTTCTTAGTTGTTTTAAATCATTCTCTATCTCTACAGAAGCATCATCTGTTACAAAATCAAACTATCTACCGTATTCAAATACTAGAATCTTATCATATTCAAGTTTCAAATAAGAAAAAACCTTAATTTCGTATTAGCATCTTTAATTGTGGAAAAACTTGATGAAGCAGGCCACAGGATTAATATTAATGATCATGAAAATTTGATAATTTTCATCACAAATAAATTAAAAAAAGAATGGGATTTTTAATTCCTTCTCTTAAGGTAAAATCCTTGAAAAATTACAATTAAACAATATTTAGATTTTAGCCATCTATTAAAGATCTTGATTGAAGGATAATATGCAGCACTATTTAATCATTACAGCATTAAGAAATTCTTCTTCAATGGCAGTATTAAGAACATTCGTGTAGATTTAAATAGTTGTTTAGATTCTTCATACTTCTTAATGTTAGATAGTGGATAAAAATGACCTAAATATCAAATTAAAAAATTACTAAATTGAAGATGCAATAAAGGGAATTAGACTATCCAAAACACCAAACAAGATATACATTCGGAGTTCCATTCATTTTTTAAATATATCCCATCTCCTCTTAAATTAAATATATCGCATTCTTCACATAATGCTCCAATTCTTCCTAAGAACAAATTAAATTCTCCTATCGCCAATCACTTTTACAGAATCTCAAATTTTTAAAGCACTACTCTATTTAATCAGACAAATAATCAGGTCTCCATAAACCTTCTAATAATTCAATATTATTTTCTGTTATTTTCTTAAACTTGGTTTTATCATAAATAGAACACTTTGGTGCATCATATACAACAGAATGAAAACCTTAGCTTGGTTAACAACCAGAATTAACATAAAATTCTCCAATTTAGCATTTTAAGCTTTTTATTAACATAAAATAAACAAAAGTTTTCTATTCCTAATCTGAGAAACAATTGATTTAAATTTATAACCTCTTTTCTTCTTAATTTTAAGAATCAAAAGTGAAAGTAGAAGAGGTTAAATCATAGTATTTTCAAAGAAAAAATCATGACAATTATTTTCTAATTATAATTATTTCTCAAATAATTTTCACAATCTATATTTTTTTAACAATGCCATTTTTGATATTTTTGAGAAAAAGTATTAAAAATTAAAAAACTAAACAGATATGTTAAGAAAAACATAAATCTATTTGTTAGAATTGAATTTCGAAACTAGTTTTGAAAAAGCAATAAAATAAGGATTTTGATTTCTAAAAAAACTTTTTAAAAAAAAGAATAGATCTTGAAAAAGTTATACTTTTTTTACTCTAGTAATAATCTTATTCAAGGTCAAATAGCAAATTTTTAATTTAATCAGTTTTCCTTCCTAGTCTAAGGTCTATCCATCAATTACTTTAGTAATCAGAGTGGAATCTAAATAATTCTTAAGTTTTTCATTTTAAATATTATTAAAATCAGTCAATAATTTGAGATATATCAAAAATATTTCAAGCCTTATGGCTATTAAATTTTATAAGTAAGAGTAACTTAATAACTTTTGATTATCAAAAAATCTTCAAATAGAGGACTATTTCACTAATTTTAATTTATTAATTATATTATGAATAGAGATTAAGCAGGGATAATGAAACTGCTTATTCTTTATTTAAAATATTTTCTTTAAATTATTGATTTTAAAATATATTTATCCAATTGGGCCAATAATAAAATAGTCACTAGTTATAAGAAAATAAATTTATAATTTGAATATTTTACAATTACAAAAATTAAAAACAGGCTAATTATAAGATTTAATTCTTGATGTAAGTAGATTCAGTACATTTTTAAGAGAAAGGGACTTGATATTATTACTTTGAGTTTTCAAATCTTAAATTTTAGAAAACTATCTAATTAATCTGAAGAAGGTAAAAAAAACAACATTATACAAATTTTAAAATGAAGTAATTTCTACATATAAATGATGAAGATGGAATTTAATTAAAATATTTATGAATCCTTTTTAAAGTTTGAGAATTTTTGATTAAATTAAGATTTATTAAATAAAAGAAAATAAAGAATATAATTAAAATAGCTTTACCAACTATTTGATTTCCTAAAACTTTTATGTTTTTTAATTTACTATAGAATTATTTATTTATATCAAATCCAATTAAATTACAATATTGAAAATACAATTGCTAAAATAGTATATGCATTAAAATTTTTTTCAACAAATTTCATACAAATAGTATTTAAGAATGGATTAATAAGGATTTATAATTATATAATGATCTTCAAATAATTTAATACATTTCATTATATATTTAGCATTTTCATTTGTTAAGACAAAACTAGGTTGAACAGCCTAATTTAAAATAAAATAATACATAAATTTTTCTCTCTCTCTTAACAATATTCGCATAAGTGATAACAACTAACACATTGACTATCTTTTCCAAACTCTTATAGGTTTTTTGTAGTAATTCAAAGAGCATTATATACAATTAAATCTCTTATATACTTGTTAACAATATAAACAATCAATACTACAATATTTTGGCATGATTATAATTTAGTTAATTAATAACCATCATTACATTTAAGTTCTTTTTTACTTTTTGAATCTATAATATTATTGAGATGGCAAAAATTGTATCATAAAACTTTAAATCATAATAACTCATGAATCTCATCTTTTCTATCTGTAAAAATATGACATGAAGTATTTTCATTAATATCTAGTTAATCATTCTTCTAGCAATTTGTAATTTCAAATGCAATGCGAAAATCATTTTGAGAAGAAAGTTTGCAAATTTCTTTGCCATTCAAATTTATAAAAGATTTCAACCATGTTTAAATTTTTGATTATTATCTTAGTAAAATCCAATATATAAGTTATATTCACATATCGAACAACCAATTTACACATTTTATTCTATTTCAAATTGTCAAAATTCTTATATAAAGTCATTTTGAAGGAAGAATTTCCTTATTGATATTCAAAACAATCTATATTTTTTTTTATAGTACCTATAGTTAAGAGACTAAAAAATAAAAGTTATTAAATAATTAAATTATGGATTAAATTATCCTTATAAATTTGAAAATTCATCTTTTTTTGATGAACATTTAATACCAGCTATTGATTAATAATATTCAGGACATTCATAAATTCTGATTTCATAGCATCTAAATACTTGTAATAAACATATGCTTCTAAAATATATTGATTTTTGAGAGAAAGTCAAAATAAATGGAATCTAAATCATAATCACTTGAGCTCTAACAATCTAAGTAAGCAAAATTATTCTGATCAATTATGGAATATTCCATTTAACATTTTCAGTTTTTTTGTTTAACTTATAGATAAAACTTCTCCACAGAATGGTTTTACCTAAAGGATTATAAATGCATTATAAACAAGTTATTGATAATTGATGGACTAAATCATAAATATTAATAAAATTTCTAGCATTTCTTTATCTACTTCATAATAGCCATGTTGACACTCTGTATTGATTTATGGTTCTTCAATTAACATCAACTATGATTCAACATAATCTATACAAATGATTAATTGTATCATATGGATAAACACATACTTTATTTTCTGGTAAATAAATACTCTCACTTTCTTCTGAAAATGATAAACAATAATTAAATCTAAATCTTATGCAATAATGTTATATTTTTAGGTATATTAAAGTCTTCTCAAATAAAAAAGGATTACCTTTAAAATCTATTGTTAATGATGGAAAAGTGAAAATATATGTAGTAATTAGAATTTAATATTAAATGTTGCAAAATTTATAAAATACTTAAACAGGAGATAAATTATTACTAGATAAATTTGGATTCTCAAAATTTCCAGTTACTTGTATAAATGAATAAAGATATTCATAGTCTTTTTCCATAATTTATTCAATTTTAAAACATCCTTATATAAAAAAAACAATTGCACTTTATATTTTCTGAATAATTTTCGTTTTTAAGCAGAGCAAGTGTGTTTAAATCTGGAATTAAAATTTTTGATTTGGTGAGCAGTTTCATTGTCCTCAAAAACACATTTTACATATTCAAACCAATCATCAATACTTTAATCGTCAAGAATCTTAAAATACTACATGGGAAGTATGAGAATTTTTAGTTTATTAAAACTGATTCTATTTTGGATTTACTTATAAAATCAAGCTTCCTCCAAAAGTTAATTATAAGTCATTTCCCTTAAATGGGTATTTTATTTTATCCATAAATGTAATTTTATTTCTTTTTAGGATGATTAACTTTGTTTATAAATTTTATTAAATGTAATCAGAAGATATTAACATTAATAACATTACTATAAGAAGGTTGAAACTTTAACCATATAAAATAATTGAATAAGGAATTATGAAACAGAGTAAGTATTTGCTGATTCAAAGTAATTAAATTGTTAAACCGTGTTTCAATAATTTTAGGTAATTAATTCTATTTAATAAAATTGAAAAATTTATTTTTTGAATGATTTTACTATACTAGATTACAATAATAGTAAAAAATTAAAAAGAGAATTAATGCAATCAGAAATTATATTATGTACAAATATTTAATCTATTTAAAAATATAATTATTTATTATATTAAATAAAATATATATCATTAAAACATTTATTGGTTAGTTAATAATACTAGCAAATATAAATCTAGTTTTATAAAACTATCTACATGCTATCCATAACTAATTTATTAGATATTTTTCATCTCTATATATTTTTATAAATTAAAATATTTAAATTATTTTTATGATAATAAGCCTATTTTATTAACTATTTAGATAAAACATGGAAAATTATCATGTATAAATTTAAACTCATTTTTCTATGTTTTCATATTAAATTAATTCCAATTAAATATATTACTAAAAAAGCAAAATAAATAATGTAATAAATGAAGAGTGGATTAATAGTGATAAATTTTTTAATCTTAATTCAAATAACTAAATAGAATTGCATCAGATAATCAAACAACTTAAATTCTTTATTGAAGAGAAATCACTAGAATGTATTATCTTATTAATCAGGAGCATTGATTTCATCAAAAAATATTAATTACTTTTAATATGGGAATAGTGGGGTTGCTTTAAAAGATGAGATTTATGAAATACTTCCATTAGGAGAATACTTCCAATATTGTTATTTAGGGTAATCAATTTCCATAAAATTGCTCTAAAAGTATTTATTGAATAAATTAAAAATTTGGTTTTGGGATTATGGGTATCGTCATAATTAAGGCATCAGGTATTACGATATAATTGTTTATGCTAAATTAGATAAAGGAAAAAATATAATTTATGATAGTAACTTAGCAATAAGTTTAATGACGATAGAATTTCCAGATTAGTTTGTTGAGGAATTTTAAATACTAAATGTAGGAGGTAATACTTACAATACATTTTTACACATCATGAAAGTTGAAGCATATTATAAATTTTCATGAGTTTTTAAATTTATTTTTAATTATTTTAAATAATTGTTCTATCTATAATGATCCTAACCTAAATTTAAGTATTTAAAGGTAATAAAGATTTTAAATGAATAATTTATTTTGAATAAATAAATAAGTTTATTGAATTCTAATCCTTTTAGGTGATTTTATCATAAAAAGATTTTCTAAAGAAATAAATTTAATTTTTAATTCTATTTGAGATAATTTAAGTTTTTTCTAAAAAATATTAATTCTTAAACCTCTACATTTCTGGTACTGCAATTAAAGCACGAAATAACAATATCTATATTTTTATAATTTTTCATTTTTTTTAAGTATAATTATTTGAAGAATTATAATTATAGATTTAAAATACTATGTATGGTATTTAATAACATTTTAATTAAAAAAATGAAATTTTCTAATTTTTTTAATTTTTTTTTTGAAGATGTTATTTAATATAATATTGATTTGAATTTATTGATTAATTCGCCTATTTTATTTTTCAATCATTAATACCTATATTTTAAGATCCAGATTTACAAAAATTAATTAAAAAACATGATTTATATTTATAATATCAATTTTGAAATTTGCAAATTTTATCCATATATATCCACAATCAATTTTTAAAATTTCGATATCTGATATGAAATTAAATTCTATTAAGATTGAATTATATATTTAACTCAGATATCGATACAAAATTTGACTCATTTATCAGATCTTATAAAAAGCCTAAACTTTAAAAATAAACATATGACCACTATTTAATGTATTACCCATATTGAATCCTAATTTTTTACACTAATCGATCAGAAAAGTTTATTTATATTATTCCATTAGCATATCCTTCATATATTTATACCTCATCGCTGGAATCTTTGTAACTAATCAAAACTTTAAAATTATGAACTTTAATGTCATAATCCAAAAATTTAATAAGTATAATATTGATCTAATAGGCCTATATAAATTGAAAAGTCATTGTTTCATAGAGCTCAAACTTAGCATGACCATATATGAATGAATCGTTTCAAAGTATACTTTTATCTTAAAGGACTTTTTAAGTCTCCAACACTATATCAAATCACCATTTATTTCTGATACTATAGAAAAAGTAACATTATACAAAAATCAAATATATTTAAGAAAAAAAAGAGGAACAAAGTATTCATAAATAAAAATAAATTATTGGCTATTTTTTTTATTTTCCAAGATACTTTTATCAAAAAAACATGGAAATATTGTTTCTATTGGGAAATTAATAAAACTAAATTTTTTTAATACTTCTGATAATGTTATATATTTATCTATTTATTAAATTAGATTTCCTAATAGAGTGAAATATTAATATAAATTCATTTATAAAAAGAAAACCAGAATAATTGAACCATCGAATAATATTAAGTTATGTTAATAATTCATATGATTATGGAAAATTATAGTTAAATCTTTAATTTCATAATGTAATAATAGAATTTGTTAGAATAATGAATTTAATAGCAGAATACCATTTATCAAATGATATAGTTTATAAGAAACCAATTTACAGGTATTTCAATTAAATTAAAATTCTTATATTTTCAATAATTGTATTATGATGATTAAATAAAATAGCATCATAGAAAATATTTATAAATGTTGTAATTTTTAATAGAAAATGTTTTAGAAAGAATTATGTTAAAATTATAGTCTAAATTTATATGGGTAAAAAAAATTGTATTAAAAATGATTGATTATAGTTATACTTATGGGAAAATTGAATTATTTTTGATTTCTTTGTGTAAATGTATAATTCAATTTTAAGCAAACATAGAATTAAATTTGATAATAATTTAGAATAAAAATTTAAACAGTATTAGAAATTACAAATTCTAAATATGATGAGTATCAGAAGTCTATAAATTTAAATAACAAAATATTAATTTTATTCATTCTCCTTCTCAATATCTTTATTATTAATATAGAAATTTATATTATTTTTAGGATCTGCAATTATAATAATTTAATGCATTCTTATATAAAAAGTTTAATTTAGCATTATGGGAAAATATTAAATGTATTTCTATAATTCTTGAATTTCATTTAATTTTTTTACAAATGCAGAGTATTCTAGCATAATACTTTCAGATATCAATTTTACATATGAGTCTAATTCTGTATTCATAAATTTGTATAATTGAGCTATGTAAATGAAATTTTCCTTAAGAAATAAATTACTAATACAAGTTTTGTTATTTCAATATTAAAATACTAGTTAATTACTATAAAGGATGATATCTATCTCTTTTATAAATTCTTAATATTATGGATTAATCTAATTTTATGAAAGACTTCAATATATTTTTTTAAGAATTAAAATTTATTTTAAATGAGGACTCTTAAGCATCAGTTGACTACAAGTAGATATTTTATTAAAAGTTGAATTCGATCTGATTATGCTTCACTGATCAAATATTAATAATGAAATAGTTATTCATTAAAATCATAAAGAATTTATTCCTTATTATTTCTCTTTGAAATAAACTTAAGGAGAAATTGATCATTATAAATAATTTTTAAGTTTTCTTCATAATAAACTTTGAATTTGTTAAATAAATATTTATTCATTTAGAGGAGAAGAAAATACTTTTATGAATTGAACTAATTTTAAGTGTTTTTATTAATAAAAAATCACTTTAGTTATAATTTACAAATTAAAAATAACATTAAATTCTAATTTTTTATAGGTTTTTTATATTTTGATATTAATTTTCTATTAGTTTATAATAGTATTTAATTTTTATTCTATTTACCCATTTTAAATTTGAAACTAAAGTGGATTGAATTAAATAATTAAATAGTTTTATGGGAGAGGCACACTATCAATATCAAAAATAAGCATAAATTTTTTAATAACATTAAAAATAAGAGGAAGCACTTATTGAATACTATGTATATCAAGATGTATAAAACTTGATTAATTTATTATATTCAAGGAAAGCAGTACTTGAACATTTTTAGAATATTCAGAATAATCCAATAGTTACTTTGAGTAATAACAAAATTATTTTATAATTAAATTTATCAAGTGGAATTCATCGAGATTTGCAATAATAATATTCAAATAACTTTTAATTAAAGACTAAATTAATATCTGAAAAAAATATTGCATTATATACACTAAAATATGTGGTTTAATCTTTGGAGAATTAAGTTACAAGTTAAAACGGATAATAAGAATTCGTGTATATAAATGATCCAGTTAAATAATATTTAAATGAATTTATAAAAAAATATGAATTTGGATAATTTGATTCTAATCAAATAGAATTATTAGAAACTAATTAAGTAGCATAATTTAATGAATAAGTTTTATAAACAATTATTTCCTCAATATAAAGTATTGATGCCTAGACAAATTAGATAAGACAGAATGGCAGCCATTAGAAACCAACACAATAAGAATTAATAAAAAGAGCAGAGTAATTATTCATTTTATTTTAGACAATATTATAATATGACAAAAGATAAGTTGAATTAAATTTATCCATAATAAAATTATTAATAATGTCTAATTAACAAATAAGAAACATATTTTCAAGGCTAGGAAGGTCATTTAATAAACCCAGGAAAGCAATAATTTATAAGCTCCTCAAATTCATAATAAGAACAATATTTTAATATTGAAAAAAAGATATTAATAGAGTTTTTGCAATTCTTCGGATATTTTAATCAAGCAAAAACCCAATCTAAATTAATAAATCCATAAAATTTTTATTCCCAAGTGAATCATTACTTAAACAATCCTAAATATCAATAGTATGATCAAATAATATTTGCAAAAAAAATATTACAATTTTAAGATGTTTTAGATCATCAAATAATATTACATTACAATTTTTAATTGTTCTTTGATTTTTTGTAATAAACCAGAGGCTATTAAAATTTATAGTTATCTTAGTAATTTTAAAGATTTGTTCCCAAAATTATAGGAGAAATATCAAAGGAAAGAGATAAAATATATTTTTATATGATGAGATATCTAATAAGATTGGTCATTTTCTTCTCTATAATCAAATTTATGGAGTGCATATCAAATCATTAAGAAATATATACACTCAGATATATTAAAACTGAATAAATTTAAGAAAAATGGCAATAGGAGCAAATCAAGGAGTAGAAAAATACATTTATTTGGGGAAGAGAATTAATATTTTATAAGTATTATAAAAGTAGAAAATGAGCAGAGATCATAATCTAGATTATTTCAAAGGAACACAATTAAATAGAGCCATAAAGTAAAAACAATTGAGAAATATTTTTGGAAGATAGCTAAAAGTTTAAGTAACACTTAGAAGAGAGAGTCTGGTGGATAGTTTTGCTGACAAGAAATAGGAGGTTTATTAATATAAATCAGAGATTCATTTTAAAAGAAGAAGTGAAAATTATCTAGATTATAAATTATTATTATTACTACTTATAAATGAAAAATGGATGAATGTGTGAGTTTATTACTATAATAACCATAGTAAAATCAAAAAAAGTATCTTTTACTTTTTCCACCTTACAAAAAAATCAATAATTAGCTGAAATTTTTTTTTGATATTATCTTAAAATTCAATTAATGAAATTTCATTATTTTATTATTGAAAAAATCTAAATATTAATATATCATTAACATAGATATTTTCTAAATAGATAGAAATATCTACGAATTATTATATCCTTATTATTTTAGAGAGTGGATGCTTTAATTTCTTTAATTGTTCTAAATTAAACCTTATAAATAGATATACAATAATAAATATCATGTAAATATTAAATTAATAAATAATTAATTTAATATTTAATTGAAATTATTAATTTTAAATTGAAAAAGGAAGCTTAAAAAAAAAATAAATTTACAAAAGAAAATAATAATCTCGATTAATTATATTAATCTTTTTTAATAATATATTATTCAATTCTCATAATTCTTCTCCCCAATCTACAAATTCTTGTTATTATAAATATCTATCTCCACCCAGATACCTACCTTTTTACCATTTTAATATTCACCAGTATAAGTTAAGAACCATTTATCATCTGCTACATCCACCCACTTACCCAACTTAAATTCTTCCCCTTCTTCATCATATAATCCACCTCCACTAAAATTTAAAATTGGGTTTATTAAAAGCTATCTATCTAATATTTTACATATAATAAAATGGTCTTAAATTCCATTCATCCTTCACCATGATTTCCCATTTACCAATTTTTTTACCATTTTTGTATTCTCCAATATATTTTACTTAACTATCAACCCTAAATTCATCCGATAATTCTATCCAATTACCCACTTTAATCCCTTCATCATATTATCCTCCCCCACTAAATATAAATTCAGCAAAATAATTCTTACATATGTGTATTTTGAAAAAAAATATCCCATCTACCAACTTTTTTATTATTTTTATATTCGCCATTATAAAAGACTTAAGCATCTTTTTAAAATCTATCCTACACTTCCACCCATTTAGCTGATTTAATTCCTTCATCATACAGTCCACCGCCACTAAAAATATATTCTGTTTTTACATTTTCATGCTTTGTGCATTCTTTTCCCAATACTCCTTATAACAGATATCCCATTTACCATCCTTTTAACCATTTTTATATTCGCCATAAACAGTAACTTAAGAAAACTCTGAAAATTCATCACTCACTTCTACCCAATTACCAATCTTAATCCCTCCATCATATGATCCTCCACCACTAAAACATACATTAATCTACATGATATTTTTTACATAACTATTTTTTCAAACAAAATATTCCACTTGCCGATTTATTTACCTTTTTTATACTCTCCCTCATAAGTTATTTAGGAACTATCTTAAAATTCATCAGATACTTCCACCCAATTACCATCCTTAATCCCTTCTTCATATGATCCACCACCACTAAAACATACATATAGCTCCAAGAATATTCTTACATATGCTTATTTTGATAACAAATATCCCATCTACCAACTTTTTGCCCATTTTTATATTAACCTTTATGCGTTATGTAAGAACCCTCATAAAATCTATCTGACACTTCTATCCAATAACCTAATTTAATTCCTTTATCATATAATCCACCACCACTAAAATATAATTTAATAACAAAATGTTTTTACATAATCTCATCATAGCACAAAATATCCCATCTGCCAACTTTGTTACCATTTTAATATTCACCTAAATAAAATACTTATGAATAATGCCAAAATCCATCCCAAAATTCTTTCCATTTTCCCTCTTTTTGACCTTATTTATTATAATCACCTCCCCCACTAATAGATATTTACAATTAATACATCTCTTTATCCTCATAAATTTATTTCCACGTTCCATTTCTCAAATCACTTACATACTATCCAATTTCATAAGCCTAAGCCTTTCTAATGATTATATATATTATATTTACATCCAATAATTTTTTATCATTTCTTTCCATAAACCCTATTTTTTTCCATCATCTGAGTAAATTCCACCTACATCAATTATTGTCTCGCAATTCCATTTAGCAAACCATTTACCTACTTTTTGATCATTTAATCCATATTTTCCACACCATTGAAGATATTTGATTTATTAAAAATTATGTAATACTTAAGGGGTTTTTGATATGTCTTTAATAGTATCTCTAGAAAGATTAATAAAAGAAAAACTTACATCCTAATTATTGCTCCATTTTTAATATATTAAATTTCTTTTTACTGAGTAAGTATTATTATGAGTTTACTGTAGATGAATCTTTCATTTGCATAATCCCAATTAAAAGTAGTATATATCATATCTTTTTCTATCAAATTTGGTTGAAACATTAATAATTAATAATAATAATTAAATAAAACTATAATTGTTTTCACTTTACGGAAAAAGTATCTTTAATTATTCAGAATAAAACTATTTGGAGTTATCTCACTTTTTTGAAAAAAAATTCTTCATTTTTTAGAAATAATATGATATGAAAAAATATAGAAAATAGGAAAATTTTATGTTGTTTTTAAGAATAATGAAATTATTGGTTCATATATTTATTCAATAATCTTAATAAATAAATTTATTGAATTTATAAAAAAGATGTAAAAATTAGTAATTTCAAATAACAAATTATTGCTATTGAAAATATCCACTCTGGAAATTGACGCCAAATCTACCTACAAAGAAGTTGAGAATATATTAAATTAATACTATTAATCTAGAGAATAAAGTAAATAATACTGTTTTATTGAAATAATAATTTTATCTTAATGAAATAATCAATAAGATTTATAGTAAATCTATTGATATTTCTAAGATTAATAAATAAAATACAATTTACAGGTATTTTTCTTTTAATTTAACTTACTAATTATGTGGAAAAAAGTTTATTAGAGAGGAAAAGTTTAATTTAATAATCTTATCAAATTGATTTAATTACTGATTTAGAATTAAATTGACACAAAAATCATTTTTATGGTCATTTATTTTTTCATTATTAAAGTTAAAAACTTGTTTAAAAATGAAAAACAGTTATCAATATTGAGAGACATTTAACTTATGATTAATTATTACATTAATTAATACTATATTATATTTCATTAATCTTTTGCTAATTAACTATATATTTTTTGTAATTTCTTTTCTAAAAATAACAATATTTTATGAAAAGTAAAATAAAGTTATCGGATAAATTTTTCTTTTTTAATTATTAAATTATTTAATTTACTTAGTTATTCCATCTTTTTTTTAAGTTTTTCTTTCTGTAACATTATAATTCTTAATTTACAGAAATTATATTATTGTTGTTTATACTAATAAGAATAAATTTAATAGAATTGAATTTATTAATATAGAATTCCTTGATTCATTTAATTCATAAGTTTCATCATGAATGAGAATTTACTTATTGTATTTAAATATTCAAACCTAAATCTATTTTGATATATTACACATACTACTTTAACTATACATATTTAATTCTTGAAATTGATTACTAATCTAATATTTAAATATCTTATAAACCAATAATCATACTCTACATTGATCTTTATTATTAACTTCTTTAGAATTTGACTTCAAAATTAACACTTTTAATGATAAACTATTTTATTACGATTATTTAAGCCTATAAGGTAGAAATATATATATAAAATAAAATTCAAATTAAATATGCAACAGCAGATGCTTGTATTCATAATCTATATCTGAAATATTTTCATTAAATAACATTACCTTCAGCTTTTCTATGATTATATATAAAAATATAACTTTACTAAATTAATAATTGAAATATTAGTAGTAATATTTTTTAATTAAATAAACATTCATCAAGCAAAAATATGTCTTTCCAAATCCAGTTCTCAGTTGGAATAGTTCAGCTTATTGAAAAAAGGGGTTATAATGTCTGTAAAATTAAAAAAATTAGCTTAAATATTCAAAATTTGAATCCTTTACAATCATATTTAAGTTGAGTAATTTGATTGTTTAAATTTCTGTTTTGTAATATTTGAAAGAATAATCAATTTAAAATATTTTTACTTAATTAAATATTTAATCAATATGGGATTCATTTTTTATTTTATCCATTCATTACTACTTTTATTGGATAATATAATAATAATTCTCGTTTATTTGTTTACTTAAAATTTGAAGTATCAGATTTGAAAACTATAAAGAATTTTTCCGAATTAATTTAGTGTTTAATTTATAAAATTAATTGAAAGGTATATATTCTAAATTTATGAATAATATAATGCCTGAATCACAATCTAAGAGTTTCTCTTACAAACTACTCCCATAGTCTTCTATTCATTAAAATTGTTCATCTCGAGCTATGGCAATTAATAAAAGTAAAACACTACTTTTAGTTTAAAAAGAATCCTTCATTAAATGTTTTGCATTTAAAAGAGGAGAAATAAAATTATTGTAGTTATTTCATTTTGGAAATGCAACTGTCAATACCTTGAATTTTCAAATGCAGAAATAAAATATAATTTCTGGCTCAGATAAATTCATTTGTAAATATTCATCAAACTTAATGGCTAATCCAAAATATATTTAAAAATGCTTTGGATAATTTAATACTATGTGCCTAATTTTACACCCTTTGAAAGAAGATATTATTATTATAGGTAGTAAAATTGGTCCAATTCACTTTTTATTTACTAATTAGATAGGAAGTAACAAACCTTTTACATAAACTATTTAAGAACATAATAATGTTTTAGGACTATCAATAAATGATTAAGGTACTAGAATTATATCTTGTGGAAAAGACAATTTCTTATTAATTATCGAGCCAAATTAGTCAAATTCTGAATTATAAAAATGCAATTGGATTGTAAAATAAAGACTTATTGTTGAGCAATATGGTTATAGAATATGTTTTATTAATAATAATTAATTTACATTCCAACCATCTAATAACTCTTACATAAATTACTATTGTGAAATAAATGGTATGTTTTACAAATAAAGTTAACATTAAATACCTTCTAATAAATAAGATTCTTTTTGTATCTTTTAATAAGTGTACAATTAGTAGAAGTCCCTTATTTTCAATATATATGGAAGAGTGTTATAGATAATTAAGTTTTCAAAAGAAAAATCTTTAAATTCAGACCAAACTGATTAATTGTTCTAATTAGAATAACTTATTGATTTTGGAGAAAGATATAATCCTTGGATTTATGGAATAATAAGTGAAGACGCAGAATATATAATAACTTGGGATTTTGATTCAGAGTAAATATAAATTAGGTAATTTTAAAATAATTAATGAAAATATATTTTATTTTTTAAATTGTCACCATATATTATAATTCCAGAAAATATCAAAAATATTATTCTCAATATTATAATTTTATGATTCTAATATTTGTTTAATAAAAAATAAGTTCATATTTTATTAAAGAATTTATTTAAATTATAAAAAATGGATAACAAATATAGTTTGATAAAGGTAGATAATTTTGAAATAAAGCAATAAGAAAATAAGAAATATTACATCAAAGCCTTAGATAGACTACTTTCATAACTTGAGAAGCATAAGCTTAGTTACACTAAATTATAAATTACCTAACCAATAGTCTAGATAAAGGGAGCTAGAACTATTTGGTAAAATTATTCATAAATATGTAATTAAATAAAAATGAACTCTAAGCTTGTAAACTAGTACTTTTATGCTTAGTTTTGGGGGAAAGTGTATATAAATAATAATAATAATATAGTTCAATAAGAAATGAATAAATGATCATATTAGGATAAAGAATTAAAAGTAAAGTTATTTAGTCTTACCTTAGGGAATTTTTAAGTATTTATATACTTTTAGAAGTAGAAGAATAATTAATTTGTTAATAATGCAAAATGGCAGATACAAAATTAGTGAAAGATAGAAAAATCAAATTGATTAGTAAGGAATGCACAACTTGCAAAGCTACTTGTACTGTAGAAGGATCAAAATTTAAATACTTTAAATTTCCTTGATTATTATTCTTAATAAATTTATGTATCAAATTATTAATTCACAATAAAGAAATTAATGGAGAATATATAGAGGTGTTTTGATATAAAGAATCTTTTTGTTAACTTATAATTGAATAACTTATATATTTATCTTCATTAGAAAAAAAATTAAATATTATTCACATCTAAATGGAAAAATAGCTAAATTTATTCAATATATTATAAATTAAAAAATATAATTAGTTAATAATAATTATGATATAGAAAACAATCTTAGAATATATCAGAATTAAATAATTTTGTTTAAGGTACAATATAAATTTACTTGATTTTATTAATAGAATAATTAAGAAAATTTCATAAACTCCTAAAATTATTCTTGGTTTTTTTAGAAGAATGCAAACCACCCTTAAAATGAATCTGCTTATACTGCAATAAAAATCAATCCATAACGTAACAATTATTATTTAAAAGGTATCTTACAAACATATGTAAAGCACTGACTTTATTTATAAAATGTTCGTTAAATGAAAATCAAAGAGAAAAAAAATCTTGATGAGTTAATTGAATAGTATGATTCAGCAATTCATTTAGATTCAAATGATTAATCTGCTTATAAAATGTAAGGTTAGATAAAATTGATATTTTTCATTAAGTCTTATTCTATTACAAGAAAACAAATTATCAAGAATAAAATGATGTGATGAATCCATATTATAATATGAATAGAAGTTTTCACTTTAGCCCCATTCTTGTAATCTTATTAAAAGAGGTAATGATTATTTGATTACAATAGGATTATTCGAGTCTTATCAATATCAAAGTTATTCTTATTAGTAATTCTTTAAATTCTAAATTTATTATAAATAAAAATAGAACTTATTTCAAGCAACTATAAATCAAATGATGATGAAACAAAATTTTTTAATTGCTCAATAAGTTTAATCTGCATTATGAAATAATATTTTTGAAAAAGGGTTCTCAAATTTGGAATTAATGATATGTGTATTCTTATCTGATATCTGGAAATATAATAATCCAATTCTATTTAATAAAAATTAATAAATCATTCTTTCGGTTAGCTTAAAACTGAGTGTGATATTATTTATGGCTTTAACTTATTTTGAAACTTATTATATTAAATAAAAATTTTAGAAATTTCAATTTCTACATTTAATTAGTATATTATAAAATATTCATTTTTTTATGATATATGCATACAAACATATACTGTGAAAAATAATAAAAGAAGAACGTACTTTATTTTAATATGAATATATTATATTTTCATTATTTGAACATCTGTTCAAATTAATAGATATTCATAAAGTCATATTTATCAATGAGTATACACCATTAGCGGAAATCCATTAATAAATTTAAATTAATAATCTCTAATTAAAAAGCTATGGGCTTTACTGGATAAGTAATTATTTAAAACTCTTTTATTATAAATTCTAATATAAATTAATGAAAATTTACATTCATAATTAGTATCTAAAGGAAGATTTGGATAATGTTATTTAATGGAATTTTCAAATTCAATTACTTTTTAATTTTAATCTAGTCTCATGTATATCTGTCCTAAAAATAAGTGATAATAATAACTTAATGCTAACTTAGCAGCTTAAATTAGTAAAGGATATTCACTGGCAGTCTATTATGGTTATTCATATTAACAAAATTCTTCATAATATTTGGATGATTCTAAATTTTTACCTTCTTACTCCATTTTAAAACCTTGATATATAATAATTATACCTTTAAATAAATAAAAGAGTGATTGCAATTATTACTAACATTTATTTATTAATGAATCAGCTAATTCAAAATTCTTTATTAAAATTGCAGAGATTACTAAATTTAATTTATATATTACTATATTATGAAATTTCATTCTTGTTTAAGAATGAAAAATTGATCTTTTGATATATACTTACTATAATTCCAAATAATTATTATTTATAATATATTTTAGCTATTTAAAGTATTTATAATACCTTATAATTTTAATGCTTTTTCAATTTTTTAAGAATCTTTTTTTAGTATTTCTAATAAATTATGTGCCTCATTAAAATTATTTTACAAATAATAAACAATAACTTAAATTTATATAGAATATATTAACCTAGAAACCATTAAGAATCATAAATATCAATTAAGGATTGAAAAATTTTCTTGGCTTCCTCAAAAGATAAATCGTTAGGTTATACATTTTAAGTTATGTTCTTTTCTAAAATAGCAAGTGCTAAAAACTCAAATAGTAACATTACCTTTATTATAAAGCAATTATTGTTTGTAAGTTTCATTTTTAAGTTCCTAATCATAATAATATATTGCAATAGTATATTATTTTTATATTTGATTAATCAAACCTAATGAGTTATTGAAATAATTAACCCATATATATATTTATTTTAGATTTATTATATTCATTTGATTGCAATAATTTAAAACAATCCATTGATTCACTTAATAATCCTTGATGAAATAAAATCTATGCTGTAAATCATAAATTAAAAAAAACCTCTTAATTCAAGAAATTCATATTTTTATTCTTTTAATGGTAGATTATTCATTATTTCCAACGCTTATATATATTGTTTCATTCCTACTAAAGTGTATACTAATTTAGATAATCTATTTGAATACCATAACAAATTTCAATAATAAATTCATTTGGATATTATATCCTTAATGGTTCTAAATATTATTATGCAAGGCCATATTTTTATAAAGTTATTAAACAAGTTGCTATCCTAATAAATTACAAATTTAACATTTTAGCAAAGTTAAAAATAAACATTGAGGGAGTTTTAGTAACTTTTTCTCAACAATATCTAAAGCATTTTTAAATTATTTTTCTAAAAACAATTATTTCACTTTTATTACTAATAAATTATACCTTCTGAAATAAAGACTATTAATGGTGAATTTATTTATCTATGTTACTCATATGATTAAATTGAAAAAACTGTTTTATTTTTTGAAAACAATTTTATAGCAATGACTCATATACAATTCAAAATTACATCTAAAACTTTATGCTTCGGAATACTTTTTTGAATTTTTTTATATTGAGTTTAAAAATTCAATAGCTTTCTAAAATTCACCTTATTTAATCAGTATAATTGCTATTATTATTTTCTAATACAATACAATATGTTATTTTTGTTTCATCATCTAAATTCTGTAAATTATCAATATGAAATTATTTTGGATTTTACATTAGCATACAAATAACTAAAAATTAATTAATAATTACACTTTGCATCGCAATAAGCCTAACAATTAGAATATTTTTCCATACCTTATTAACAAAATTTAATTGCTTTTTGAATTTTATTTTAATAAAAAATCAAACATTTAACTTTATTAATAAAATTTGTTTACCATAGAACATAATAATATCTAAACTTTCTGGCTTTTTAGCTAATTCTTCTTTTATTATTTTATTAGCTTCCTTTATTTTTCCTTACTCTAAAAGAGATACACTTTGAAACAACTGTAAATTAAATCTATCATCATTTTAATGCTATCGTTTGTCTAATTGATTAAGTTAAGAATTACAATAATGGTAATTGACTAATGAAATCACATGACCTTATAAAAAATTATCATAATTATAATCATCCTGATGTGCTATTAATTAATTTGCTTCTTGATCTTTACCCAGAATAATTAATATTGAATCTAAATTTTAGAATGTATTACATTTCTTAGCTTAAAGAACATAATCCTTTTTAAGTTTTAGTGCATAATTAATCTTTTAAAGAGCATGATTATATTTACATAAATAAAGCAAATCTTCAACTAAAATAATTGATAAATTATCTAATACTTTGCTAATTAAGTATAAATGAAAAGTATTAAGGGTCTTCTAATGAATAAACCTCTTCAATTATCTAAATGATTGTATTTTTAGTATTTATTTCTATTTATTGAGTCCATACGAAAGCTATTAATAATTTCTATATTTCATTATTGTAGCATTGCTTTGCTAATCTAATTAAAATCTAAATATCTTAGTATAAATGGATTTCGTCTAATTAGTTTTAAATGAGTTTTTTAAATTTATCTTGATAAACAATCAATTCTTAATAAAATGAATTACATTGATTTTCAATTGATAATGATTAAATTCGCTATAAGAGTTGTTCTATTTTTTTAAGATGAATTTCTAATATATAATACAATATTGTAATTGGAAAACAATCTAATAGATGTTCCTCATGAAATTCTTTCCAACAAATTTCACAAAGCTTATCTTTTGTTGATTTGCAATTTTCATTTAAACAAAACTTTATAATTGGATTCAAATTATGAGTCAGATAATTACAAGTAAATATTTGAGGATTCATTAAAATAATTTAAAATAAATAATATTAATAACAATATTCCAAATTAACAATATATTGTTTAGAGTAAGTATAATCTTTATTAATCTCAAATGATA